TTTTTTCTTCTTCTTCTTCTTCTTCTTCTTTTGTTTCTTTTTGTCATCTCAAACTGTTCCTACAGCCTACCTATTTCGTATTCTAACAATGACCTTCAGACCCGACAGTTGGCAAGAACCATGCATGTGGTGAAGATTCGGATTGTATCAACCGCGCGACCAAGATTGAATGTGTAAATGATTGCAGCTGTGGCCCCGAATGCCAAAATCAACGGTTCCAGCGAAGAGAATACGCGAATGTGGCCGTCATCAAAACTGACAAGAAAGGGTTCGGCCTCCGTGCTGAGTCCGACCTGCGACCGCACCAGTTTATTTTCGAGTACATCGGAGAGGTGATCAACGAGGGGAATTTTCGGCGGCGCATGCGACAGTACGATGAGGAGGGGATCAAGCATTTCTATTTCATGTCCCTCAATAAGGGCGAATTTGTTGATGCGACAAAGAAGGGTAACTTGGGTCGGTTTTGCAATCATTCGTGCAATCCCAACTGCTATGTCGATAAGTGGGTCGTGGGAGAGAAGCTCCGAATGGGCATTTTCGCGGAACGCTTTATTCAGGCTGGAGAGGAACTCGTTTTCAACTACAACGTTGACCGCTACGGAGCCGACCCTCAACCCTGTTACTGCGGAGAACCTAATTGTACGGGCTTCATTGGAGGACGGACACAAACCGAACGTGCAACGAAGTTGTCCAATGCAACTATCGAGGCTCTGGGTATTGATGATGCGGATGGCTGGGACACCGCCGTCGCCAAGCGGCCGCGTAAGAAGAAGATGGGCGAAGCTGATGAGGAGTATGTGGACAGCGTGCAACCGAAATCTCTGGAGGAGAATGGGGTTACGAAGGTCATGGCTGCATTGATGCAGTGCCAAGAAAAGTGGATTGCAGTCAAATTGCTAGGACGGATTCAACGGTGTGAAGATGAGCGAGTTCGCAATCGTGTTGTGAAGATGCATGGTTACCAAATCCTGAACTCGCAGCTCGCTATGTGGAAGGATGACCACAATGTGGCCCTGCAGATCATGGATATCTTGGACAAGTTTCCTCGTCTTACACGAAACAAGATCATTGACTCCAAGATCGAGTCTACTATCCAACCGTTAACGACCTGTGGGGATGAAAGGGTGGAAAAGAATGCGGCCGCACTTTTGCAGGCATGGTCCACGCTGGAAGTGGGCTATCGCATCCCTCGTATGAAACGGGATCCCAACAGCTCGTCGCAAGCAATGAACCAATTTGGACGACGAGAAACTACCCGTGATGAGCGACGACGATCAAGATCACGTTCCCGGTCCAGGTCGCGGTCCCTGGATGCACCTCGTGGTCCCCGCGGTGATCGCGGTCCGAGAAACCATCATCGTCAGCGGCCATTTCGCCGTCAACCCAACCCTCTGCCTCCTGGATGGTTTACGGCCGAATCCAATGGCCGGACATACTACTACTCTGCCCGTGGAGACACAACATGGACACGGCCAACCACACCTGCTCCTCAACCTCCTCCGCCTCCAAAGGAATCGAAAGACAAGGCATTGCAGGATATAATCGATGGTATCGTGAATGCCAAAGAAGATACTCCCAAGGAGAAGACTACCACACCTGGTACGCCGCAGACATCGAAGCTCACGCCCGAGGGGAAAGAAGGATTGTCAAAGTGGAAGGGCTACAGCGAGGAGAAGCAGAAGAAGCTTTATGAAAATACGGTAAGTTATTATTTACATCGGGAAAAATGTTGCTAGACTAATTCGTCCCTAGTTGTTTCCCCATATCAAGTATGTTGTTGATAAGTTCAAACACAAGCTTCCAAGGGATGATTTGAAGCGGCATGCAAAAGACGTGAGTGTTGAGTACCTGGAATATTGACTGGCTCATTTATATACTGACAAGTTTTTGAAAGGTCGCGAAGAAACTTGTGAACTCGGATTTCAAGAACAACCGGGTCGAAGATCCAACGGCGATTAGTGACAAACAACAGAAAAAAGTCAGGAACTACTGCAAGGAGTATTTTGAGAAGGCAGTTGTGAAGCATCGAGAGCACGAGAAGAAGGCCGGTAAGGGCACCAAGGAAGTCGGTGACACAGCCAACGGCGAAAGCGATGAAGGTGTCGACGTAAAGATGTCCGATGACGAAGGCGGCAAAGATACTGGCGAAGAGACCGAGACACCAGGGTCATCGTTGAAGCGAAAGCGAGACGACGACCCCGAGAAAGAGGACGGGAAACGGAGTCCTTCACCCTCGAAACGACAGCGTTCCTCTACACCACCACCGCCGCCGCCGCCGCCGATGAGCCCTGGACAAGCAGAGTCCACGCCAACGGACAAGGAGGCAGTACAAGCTGCTCCTACTCCGCCGCCACCTCCACCGATTCCAGCAGAGCAGAGTTGATTGATATTGAGTGGAGTTTGAAAATTTGAAACACGTCATATTTTGTTAATCTTTTGTCGCATTGGTATGTTTCGATTTTGTGATGGTACATTGCTCGAATACCCCTGGGTTGCGCATTTGCATTTACATGGTTTGTTATTCCATGTCTGGGATGGATTTATATTGTATAACTAGCCGGTGTCTAGAAGGTACGGAGTCTTACTACGATATCTATAATTTAACTTATATTATACTACTATTATTACTCATGGTCCCCAATCTCATATCCAGACGTGATGCTCATTGCTCTATCTACTTCTTGAATTGTAGACAAGACATGAATGCGTTAATGATATTCCCCGTTAAAAGACAGAATGCATGAACAAAAAGAGAAAGAGTTAGAAGAAATCTAGTAGAAACTCTCCACGATACTCTCCTTATTCGCCTCGCCCATACCCACGCCACGGGGACCCATTTCACCCAACCGGAACACACTCTCAACAACACTCAGCTCCGTCGCAGTAGTATCGAGACCAGTCACGGCCAACCAGTCGTTAACGACCATCCCAGCACCAACAACGGGGCTACCACGATTCACACTACCAGCGACAAGGGGCACCTGCAGCAAGGAAGAAAGTTCATCCTGGTCACGGATAGAGGTCTTGGGGTGGACGATACCGCCTTGGTTGGAAAGGGCCATGTAGGAGCCTGTCAGGACGTTGTCGGCAATGGTCTGGCGGAAGACTTCAACACCAAGAACGTCGGCGATTCTACTCAATTAGCATCCATCTTCTTCATAGCACAAAACGGAGTAGAAAAGGGAGAGGGGCGCACATTTCCTCAGTCTCACGCTCAATATCCGGGTGCACAAGGGCAACATGGTCATTGCAGCATATGACATTTCCCAATGCCGAGAGACGCTCTTCTATCCGTTGGATCTTAACGTGATCGGGAAGAGTATTCCGCAGATGCTGCAGTTCTTGGTCTGTGGTTGTTGTGGGGACAAGGAGGCCATTGCGATTTCTATTCATATATTAACATCTTTTTTCTTGAGTTCGTGTTTTCGACGGGAAAAGACGTACCCAGCTGTTAGACGGCCGATAATCCGGGTACCGGCGATCGTAGCGTGGCAGATGGGGATAACATCCTGAAGTTCGGCTTCGAAGACACTGTTTCTATTAGCCTCGTTCATAAACTCCTCTCTAGAAGGGAGCGTGAATACCTGTAAAAGTTCTCCGAAGCACCAACAGCGACAAGCGCGTACGAGTTGGTAAGTCTAGAGAAGACACCGACCCTACCAATTATCAGCACAATCCTCCCTGTAAACACAAATCCTTAATATGGTAACCTACTCGTTCGAGTTCTCAAATTGTGCGCGGACAGACATTATTTCGATCTGTTCGTTTCTTCGTTCGAATTGGACTGGATCAATCGGGGTATAGAAGGAAGCTCTTGCTCGTTCATGCAAGGTGGAGCTGGTCAACCGGTTCTTGTGTGTGCGCTGTCGCTCGAGGCAGTAGTATACAGCAACAGTGAGAGTAATAGGAAATCTCTATGTTCAATATAAAAGATCCAATTCAAGCGGTAGACGAGCTGAAGAGGTCAAATACGGACCGTAAAAAAAGAACAGGACTGAAATCATTTTTGCCCCACCGAGGGGAACTAAACCCGATCAGGAAGAGGAGTCACATGAGTCATTCGGAGTCATTGATGGAGACAGTCAATTGAGTCACTACGACTATGGAGTACTCTGTACTGGTATTTGCAATCCATTATAGGGTAATATACAAGGCTGACAATGCGAGCACAACAGCAACAAGAATAACAATCATACAGGACCATTCCGGCTCCAGACAAGGAAAAAAAAAAAAAAAAAAAAGCAAAAGGTAACCAATCACTAGACATGGGCTCGATATGCACACAAAACGGAAAGAAAGTGCCAAAGAACGCCTAACCAAGTCCCAGTAATACAATTGTAGTAGATCAGAAATATCAATTGGAAAAGAGAGAATAGCAAAAGGTCCACCCCGGATGGAACGTGGTACTCGTGATTTCGAAAGAGAATGGAGTCAATTGGAACAAGGTATCCGATTTCGAATCCTGTTTTGTCCGTTGTTAGCACCACACCATGGCTTTTAGCATGTCAGACTTAACCCGGACCCTAAGCGCACTGTTTAAGCGCAAGTATCCTAATATGGAGGACGAGGTCCCGATGGGTGATGCGGAGGCGGGAAATAAAGCGGATTACTCTGCAGAAAACCCGGCGGTGGGGGTCGCTGGAAATTAGACCCTGGAGGAGGTGGAAGCTGAGGAGGCCCGCCGCCAGGAACAAAAGGGTCTGGAAGACCTAATTGCTCATTGATCGACGGGATCTGCTGACCAGCTGGCAAGAGAGGACGGGGTTGTTGCCGCGCCGGCCCCGGTTGCGACGGTAAAGGATGGTGTCCCGGTCGTGGTAGCATGTAGGGCCGTGGATCCGCCATTGGTTGTGGGAGGAGCGTACGAAGCATGGATGGCCGCGGGGTCCTAATTGGGACCTCGCTAGAAGCCACATCGGCAAGTGCGGACAAAGCCATAGCCGGCATCTCGGACGCGGTTTGAGCAGGAGCAGAGATTTCAGGTATGGGCTGGTTGGCGATAGCATTAGTCGCCTCTAGCAACATCTCTAATGTTCCATATGCTGGTTGATTAGTGGGTTCAGGTCCATGGGTCTCCCGCATCTCCTTCATCTGTGGGTCAATATCTTCGCCTAGTCTCACGCGTTGAACGAACTGCTCCCATCCCTTGTCGGCTCGTTCATAAGCTGCCGCTCCAGCAGGTTCTCTCACGTGGTTTGAATTGAAACCCCGTATGAACTCCCTGGTGGGCGGAGCGACTGGCCTCTTGTACTGCTCTGTTTCTGAACCATCTGTCTAAAGGCGTCATTAGCATTTTATAACACCTTAACAGTATATACAAGAGACTTGCCTCCGTGTGTTCATCATCTTCTGCAGCACGACGGCCCTCCACAAAAGCCATGTAGTCACCTTGCGCGGCAAGAAAGTGCTCCTCTTTGATATTGCGGGCAGATGCCTATCATTGTTAGTCCTCGTAAATCTCACACATAAAGTTGCCCAGCTTACGTGAAACTTTTGCTCAAGGCGATCTTGTTCAGAGGCGAACAAGATATTCTCCTGCTCAACTCGGAATTCATATTCGTGACGCAGAATGTCTTGCCTTTTTTGGCGGTATGCTGTCAGAATCGCTTCGAGCTTTTCAAACTCGGGCACCTTTTGATGAGCATTCTTGTCACGGGCCAGTTGATTTTCTGTTCGAACGGCCATCACATGCAAAGCCAATCTCTGTGCGGCTGCCACTTTCTTGAATGCGCGGTCCAGCTCCAACTTGCGGTCCAATAACTTCCGCGCGGCGGCAAAGGGGGATGGAGAGCGTTCAGGCCTTAACTCCGGACTTTCCATCTGTCGGTCACGTCCTGCGGCTGCAGCGGCTGCAGCACGGCGAGCAGCTGGTCCCTTGCCCTTTGGACGACCTTTACCCTTGGCCCGACCCCTAACAATGCGCGCTGCCTGGCGCCCTTTGACGGTTGTTGGTCTGGTAGTAGATCCCATTCCATTTGAAACGATAGATTCCTCAGCATCGGTAATCTGACGTGATTCGTCATCCGCTCTAGATTCCTCCGTGGCATCCGCGTGAGACAGTGAATCATGTTTCTCTGCCGTGCCATTTTGTAGTTGCTGTTCTAATGCGCGATCTAGGTCAGCTTCTTCAAGCTTGGGCTTCTTTTCTGAAGCTGTTGGAGAGACATCTGCTGGTCTAGTGAAAGCATTGGCTTCCGCTGCTGGGGAATTGCGCTCCTTTTGAGATGGACTGGGCGATGGTGGGGGTATCTCTTGCTGCGCATTAGTCGACGCACCATCGTTGTTTAGATTGGCGTCTAATGTTTCTTCGGCGGGATTCAATTCGATTATTGGGTCCTCCGGAGCATCTGTGTCTCCAATTTTGGATTCTTTGGAGATGTCCGCCTCGTCAGGGGACGGAGATTTTGTGATGGCTGCAGTAGCAGCATCGTCTGTATCTTCAGCCTTGTTTCTGCTACTCGAAGCCTTCGTTGGACTAGGCTCTAAAGGATTTCCTTCCACAGCTTCATCAAAAGAGGCATGTGGGTTGGGCCCCAGGGCCCTGATTCTGGCGGACTGCCTCGTAGTTCGAGGGGTTTCCTCAACTACCGAGCCACGCTTCATACGCTTCATCCGGGGAGTTTCAGGGCCTTGGGAAGGAGCAGAAGCACCTGGTTCCAACTGCTGCGAAGATGAGAGAGCTATGGCTCGTCCTCGAGAAGTACGAGTCTCGCGTGCATTAATTGGATTAGCATTGGCATTATTTGCCAGCGCACCACGAGTGTTTAGTTTGACGATGCGTGACCGACGAGCAGGAGTGTTGCTGTTATTGTTATTACTGGTTGAAGAGGTAGTAGTGCTATTGTTATGGTTCCTGTCGTTGCCACGCGGATCGCGATTTGCCTGCGAAGCCGCGCTTCTTCTGGTGACGCGAACATTTTGAGCATCTACTGAAGATTAGCATTGTATACATGTATTGACGAAAGAGAGAACAAAAATGGAAAGGAAATGTTACTGTTTGCGGATTGTGAAGCCCCTTCGGAAGCAGCTGGAGCATGAGCGGTGTCAAGCTTCCGCTTGGCACCTGCCATTGCGATGCTGAGAATAAGGATTAGTCGGTGTTCGCAGAGGTTATTTATGGGGGTAATTAAGAAAGACAGAGAAGAGAAAGACGAGAACACGAAAAGAGAGAGAGAGAGAGGAAGTAGTCGACGGGAATAGAGAGTGTACAGAAGTCACGAGACCGGCGCGAAAAAGATGTAGTAAAAGCCAGTGTAGTATACACACGGCAGGCCGGACTTGGTAAGAGGAGATGACAAACACAGAGATACAAATCAATGTATTACAGAGAGTTTTTGAGGTTTATACACACGCAGTAAGAAATAGCCAGGAAGAAAAGAGCCAGGAAGAACGCATTGAGGGGATTGAAAAGCTAACAGAGGAAGACATACAGAGAGTAGTGAAAAACGGAAAACAGGGAGAAAAGAGAAGGAAAAGCAATGTAGAAGAGACTCAATCATACAAAATAGATTCATGCGAATGATAGCAAACGGAAGAAGAGAAGGGAAAGAAGAGAAAAGGTCGGGATGCTATGCGACGAAAAGATGTACAGCGCCGAGTAGAGAACGGAAACGCGCGTGCAAAAGGGAGATGAGCATCAAATACAATGGAAATAGGGAAAGAGAGAAGAGTACAAGAGAGTATACTATAAAATAAAAGCAAAGAACTCACCTAGTATTGTATAGGAACGCTTTTTAGAGAGGCAATGAATGAAGGCGAAGTACAATAGAAATCCGCGAAATAAGAAAAGACTCGAGCCAAGTAAAAAACGAGGTTCGGCCAAGTGGATCAGCCGCCGTCAGTAACGCCGCAGTTGAAAGGAGTATAATATGTGAAATAGAAAAGAGGGATATCAAAGAAGCAAGAAATGAAAATGTAAAGAAGAGGAGTAAAATAAAAGATAAAATAAAAACAGAGTAGGGAAATGAAGGTTAGCGTCAATGTGGTGGGAGTCGTGTCGTTCATCCGGAACAGTAGTAGTAACAGTGGTTAAGCAATGTTTGCATGGACAACATCGCATCACAAATCTCTGTCTAATTTTTTGCGTGGTAAAATCTTAGTGCAATCTGTACAATCGAGTATTCTCTCAACTCAATCATCCACACTATCCTGAGGCAATCTAGCTTTTTTCATTGGACGTCTGACTACAAGGTTCTAGTATACCCCTGTACAAATGTGCATATGCGTCAGCCATCAAACAAAGAATGGGCATCAATACTCGAGAATTATAAGCCTTGGTTAGTCAGTAATCTTCGTCTTTTATCGCAGCACATTCCCTTAACCTATTCTTCCTTTCCTCCCCCTTATCGTCCAATCGCCATCATGAGAATGGATTATGATGATGTCGCTTGGGAACAAAACGACAAAGTATTCAATCATTTCAAGAAAAATAAGGTCACCAAGCCTCATGTGCTTCTGGCAGTCATAAATTTCATGGCAGGTACCGATCCGAGAGTCGACCCGTTGACCATGTCCGGATAGAAGGTGTGGAGCGTTCAACTTATGTTTCCGAATGATCCTTAAAGATGGACTCTCTTCTCTCCTACACTTTCCAGTTCCTGGTGGAGTGGTGTTTTCAGAGGGAAAAGGTGCGGAATGAGATTGCGGTTATAACCTTCCTGAAACAAAACACGAAACCCCTGTGCCTACCGTTATTCACTATGACATGGGCGATGAGAGTTCTGCAGAACTAGGTCCGTTTATTCTTATGGGTCACGTGGAGCATGCGTGCCATCTTTTGAGAAGATTCGCTAGCCAGATATGTAAATGACGATTGGAGTATCAACCACCGGCCATGGACCATGAACATAAACGAGCTCGTTCAGCTGGGGAACCTCCCTCCCAGGTTGCTCCCACACTCGACCTTCGCCGCTGCTTCATTGTACTACCAAAGCTTGGCCAAGACATATTGAATGCATTTGGAAACCCAACGGAATAACGCTTTTGATTCAGAAGAGGACTGCTACTCCAAGTACGTTGCCAGAATGTTATTCCATAAACTGACAGAAGAGTCCCGTCTACAAAATCCTACTACGCTTGACTCTGACCCATTCACGCTTTTTGCGATGACCTCTGTCCTACCAACGTTCTCCTTATGATAAAATGAAAATAACTGCAGTAATTGATTGAGAATTCACATATGCCGCTCCTATAGAATTCACCAACAGCCCGTCCTGGTGGCTACTATTGGACATGTCTGAAGATTGGCCATGCGGAAAACCAGATTGGATAAAAACCTATTAGCTATGCCTCGATACCTTTCTTCGGGTGCTCAAGTGTCAGGAGGCATTGCTATCGCCGTCGGTAACTTGATGGAGGAGCAGCGACTTTTTGGGAAAATGCGGGAAATTTAGGATTGCGATGGTTTCTGGGTCAACTATGGCGTGCGCGAAAGTTAGGTCTTTGATTCCATGTGGTCAATGATGAATGCAAAGTTCTCTGGTGGTGATATAGCGCTATACCAACGCGACTCGCTGCTCTATAGTGATGAGAGAATGGGACTACTTGATAACGTGGATAGGGAGGTAATGGAGGCTTTTATTCTGAAGAAGTTAGACTATAGTAAGGAGCGAATTCTAGATGACTGGAATGCACAATGACTGCTTGACCAGTTGTGTTTCTTGGCTACTGACAAAGCAGCAACAGCTCTATAGATTAAAACTTATATGGAGTCCTTATTCATTCCGATGAGCTATATTTTATATACAATAAACATACATTCGAGCTTACTGCAGGCATCAAATGATGTATGGTGGTCAGTCATGGATAGTTTTGTATTACTTTCTTTACCAAAATCGCTATATGTTCGGGGAATAAAACCATGCCCATTATCCAACTCCTTGCTCAAAAGACGAGACACAAAGAAAAAAACAAATAAATAAGCAACAAAGGAAATTAAATCAATTCTCAAGCGGCGATTCGTTCAAATCATACTTCTTCTCATACTGCAACATACTCTTCCGCAGATCTCCCGCCATGATGATCCCCGGCATGGGTTTTGATTTTGATGACGAAAGGGACGGCGGACAGGAAGAAGACATCTCACCCTCCTCAGCCGTGCCCATCCTCTCCAATAATAATGGTGAATGAGAACGCCCGTTATTGCTTACCCGCAGCGAGTTGGACGATCGTACGCGGCTCAGTGTCCTTGCAGAGATGGTCGTCCCGGCCACAGGTGATGCTTTGACTATCGTCCCTGGCATTGGTGTCGGGGGTGGCGATGGGCTATCAGAGCGGAAGAGTGGATGAATGTTCTTCTCATTGGAAGGGAGAATAAGTTTCGGGGGATGTGGTCTCATGCTGGTTGTCGCGATAGACTCTAGGTTGACTGAGGGTTCTGTGGGTGAAGGTGGAGATGGGAGGATCAGGAGACTATCCATGGATCTCACATCTGAGTCAGTCCGTTTTGGTGCTGGATTGGAAGTAGAGGCCGTAGTAGTGGTAGTGGACTGATGTTCTTGGTCGGCCACGCTGCAGGTGTCACGACCCTCAGAAACATCAGGCTTGGAAGGCGACGACATAACTCCTGCATGCAGATCGATCGACTCGTGCTTCGAGTCCTGCTGGAAGAGTGTCTTGCCTGAATACCGACTAGATACGCGCGTGACCACATTTGACATGCATGGCCGCACAGGCGCCAGTCCATCAGTGCTCGTCTTAGGATTGAGAGACAATGACGGTCGGTTGGATTCAACTGTAATCGAGAGCGATGGTGAGTCCGAGCGCTCTTGTGTCCTTTCGTCCGAATGACGTTCATCCAGCCTCTCGAGCTCATGGGACAGCGGACGTGGCCAACTGTGGGTATTCTCCTCATCTTGTTGCCTTGCCCTGGGGACTAAGTGAAATCCGCAAGAGATAGCTTGCGCAATAACTGAAAAGGCCCAAAAGATATTGCGAGTAATGAACTGTGCCTGGGCCTGCGCCGTCGTCAGACTCTTTGCGATTATGCCGGCTGTGGTCCCCGCCGCTAGGAGGAGGTAGGCGACGATTAGAATGTGAACAGTGTGTTGCCAGGTCCCCCACGACCCATTTTTTGTTTTAGTTCTGGGATGCTGTGTTTGGATCACGAGCAGTAGGGCCAGCACAACGCAGCCAACTACGCTGAGACTGAGTACGGCTAACTCAAAAGAGGATCTGGTCCAGGCGTAGCATACGCCATCGAGGATGGTAGCGATAACAGTAAGGGCAATAGCAGTGCCTCCTAAGGAGTAACCCACGGTTGTATGCATACTGGTAGGATAATCTGGATATGGTTTGTCTAAAGGGGTATGCGTATAATGAGTATCCAAAAAGGCAAAATAAAGAGTAAAACGATAGCAATGCTTAATTTAAAAGTCATAAGAGCTGAAGACATGTACAAACAAGAGTCATAACCGTAATGATTGATGTGGAGGAGGGATGAATGTGTAGTAGGACCGGAATTGCAACGGGAACTGCCAACAATTAATACTTCGCATGGCTCCAATTTTTCCTGAATAAAATGCATCTACCTGGAAAAAGTTGACTCAGTGGAAACGGGGAAAGGGTTCCGCAACGCCATCCATGTGAGATGCATGAAATCGTTGGATGATAGATGCCAATCGTCCCGGACCGATCATGGCAGCGTCCAGGATCATCACCCGGATCTTGATCCATCCTTCCATAAAACTGGTCAGAGTTTATAGCAATTTCTGTAATGAGGACAAGGCAGCCTGTATGATGATTAGGACTGGATGCTGTGTGACTTCAATTGTGCTTCACTTCCAATCATAATCCCGCATAATGGCCGTATCCATTTTCACTTGGACTGCCTCGAAGCATCGCGACTCATGTAAATCTCAGATTGATGAGATCCCAAGGGCCAGGGGGCGCTGGCATCATCCTCCAGTTCCATAAGTTCCGATAAAAACCAGGCAGTACTTGCATGGAACACATCACGAACACAGCAATTTGTCAAGGTTCCAATTCTATTTATCGTCTGTACGATCTTCGAGATCCGATAAATCGAACCAGCACTAGTGAATCAGAACAGAAGTACCTTATCTGTTCCATGGCAATAGTTTAGCTGGTAGGATGAGTCCAGTGGCCGATGTGATGCATCATAGGGGAATTGACGATGGGAGTGAAGAATCCGGAGAGGACCGATAGTCCGGAACGAACCAAATAGACATGCAGGTACACGGACAGAGTCAAGACAAGGAATTAACCTGCAAAAGAAACATCTGTACATGATTGGTTTATCTGTTGATTCCTGGTGATAGATATATTGTCAGGATGTAGAGAGCGGTGCAATGCACAGCCCGGAGATGTCTTTCCGCCTCCCTCCCTCCCTCTCTTACTCTGCGAGCGTTACTATGTCCTTGATCTAGACTATCGAGCTGACTCGGTTAGTCTACATCAAATATTCGTTTCCATATTAAATATATTAAAAGGAATATGTACGGGGATTCCGTGCTCGTAGGGATAAATAATTGATTATCTAAATTGTGGCGCGGCTTAGCGAAGTGTGGCTGGTGTAGTCACCGCCTTGTTTCTGCCAGCATCATGTCCATTCGTTCATCATCGTCTTTTGCGGCTGCTTCTTTTCCGTTCTTGTTATTGCACCAGTTTTTATCCGTTGAAGAATCTTCTCGACTGGTCATTCTCCTCGGCTTCTTGCCTTTATTCTCATTGCTTCCTGCACTTCGTTGCTTTTCTCGTCGTTCATCCTCCGTCTGCCTTTTCAACCCCTCCTCTTTCTGTTGGTGGCGCAAAGATGAAGCTCACCTTCAAGGTCCGTCCATCTTCGCTTTTCTTCCACCCTATGACATATCACTTACCCTGAATCTTTCGTGTCTACAGGATTTGAAACAACAAAAGTTCACCATCGATGCTGAGCCATCGGAGACGGTAAGTTTTGATGTCTTGTAGCTTAGCCAGCATCCAGTCAGTGCGGGGCTAAAATGAGATGGTTACTATCAGGTCGGACAAGTCAAGGAGAAGATTTCTACTGAGAAAGGATGGGAGGTTCCTCAGCTGAAGCTCATCTACTCCGGTATGTCGAATAATGATCCCTTTCACGCGGGATTCATTTTCCACTCCGTATTTTTTGAGCAGCGTGGGCTCCGGGTCTGGGCCAGCCGTTGATTTCAGCTACAGGAAAGATTCTTCAAGATGACAAGACCATCGAATCATATACTATCGAGGAAAAGGGTTTCATAGTGTGCATGGTATCTAAGGTAACCATTCTTTCAATTCCTTTTCTGTTTCAGATTGTTGGATGGAAGATTAACTCTTCGACTTCTACAGCCTAAGACCGCTCCTTCCTCCTCCGCCGCTTCTTCTCAAGCACCATCAACCCCTGCGAGAGCACCTGCTTCAACGCCAGCTGCACCAGCTGCACCAGCTGCTCCCGCGCCATCGGCAGCCACCTCGACCCCGGCCGTCCCTACGACTCCTTCTCCTGCTGGAGCCCCCCCGGCGCCAGCCGATACCCCCGCGCTCAATGACCCGTCTGCCTTGCTCAGCGGTTCGCAGAGTGAACCTGTTATTGCTCAGATGGAGAGTATGGGTTTCGCTAGAGAAGACATTACTCGTGCAATGAGAGCCGCCTTTTTCAATCCTGATCGTGCGATTGAATATCTGTTGAGCGTATGTTTCACTGTTTCCCACTGCATTTTCCCTTACGCGCTTCAAGCTAATAATCGTAAAAAGGGCATCCCAGAAAACATTGAAGAGGAACAACAACAATCCGCTGCGGCTGCCCGTGCCGCCCAGGAACCTGCCGGTGAAACCCCCTCCGCCCCCGCTGCCCCTTCTGGCGAAGACGAGCCTGTCAACCTGTTTGAAGCCGCAGCCCAGGCTGGTAACGAAGGCACACGTGGGTCGCGTGCCGCTGGTGCTGGTGCTGGTGCTGGGGGCGAAGCGCTTCCAAACCTCGATTTCCTTCGTAACAACCCTCATTTCCAACAATTGCGTCAGCTTGTTCAACAGCAGCCTCAGATGCTCGAGCCCATTCTTCAGCAGGTTGCCGCTGGTAACCCTCAGATCGCGCAACTCATTGGCCAAAATGAAGAGCAATTCCTCCAGCTGTTGAGCGAAGACGGTGATGACGTGCTTCCTCCTGGTACACAGACGATCAGTGTTACGGAGGAGGAGAGAGATGCTATTGAGCGCGTACGTGCATTCCATCGTTCCCCTTTCTCCTTGGTTTTTACACGCTAACAATTTTTTTAGCTTTGCCGTCTTGGCTTCTCGCGGGATCTGGTTATCCAAGCCTACTTTGCTTGCGACAAAAACGAAGAGCTTGCTGCAAACTATTTGTTCGAGAACCCCGACGACCCCGACGATCTATAAATTCCTCATCTCTTGACGAGGAAGTTGTTGACAAACTTTCCGTTCTTTTCTTTTCCTCTCTCCGTAACGACTACCTTTCATGTATGATTCCGGATCCAATGCCTTTTATTTCTTTTTTATGGCTGTCCTGTTTATTGGGCCACGGCACAGCTTGGCGTCTTCGAAATCCCACATTCGATGAGTTGACTAGCGTGTGTTTTCTGCTACTACTATTTAGCCCAATATGTAGTGTTGATTCCAATATGTTTAATTCTCTATCACTGGCTGTCATTCTGTTCTTTCTAATTCTTCGAAGTAAAAGTCAAGTGTAAGGATAGTAATTAAAACTGGAGATTTAAAATAACAACCGTCACACGAAATTGATTGTTTGTCATGGTCATTGAAGGGTTACTATGCATGTTTCCCACATGCAGTATGCATATATTCCGAACCTATCAACCAACCAAATATGCCTATTTTATATTTAAATCTAAATAATCTACCTACTCTGACAAATAAAATAAAAAAAGAAAGAAACTTGCTAATCTGGTCCTTTATCCTCAGATAAACACTGCCGTCTAGCTGCCCAAACACCCAACCCCCGTCTACCCACAACACGAAATAACGTGGGGATCACACCATCATCACCAAAGTCCAGGTCATCGAGGTTGAGATGTTTCTTGTAGTACCACAGTTCGTGGAGCTCGATATCCTCCTTTTCTTCATTGGACTGAGAGGAAGAAGTAGGTATGTAGCGATCGAGGAAGGTGGCTGATTTTGGCGCAACCACATATATTTCCTTGTCCTTGTCTATGTTGTTCACGTCGACTGGGCATGTAGGAAGGGTTTGGTTGAGGTGGCTGATCAGTTCCTCGCCGGGAATACCCATTAGGTCGTTTGTGGTGATGTCGAGGGACTCGCCTAGCAACCATCGCGGAGGAGAGTAAGTCTTCCACCAGAAGACTGTGGCAGCTGCGGCGTCTTGTCCTGCTCGGTGGTCTGCGATAATACCGGGAATGGCGAGCTGAGTCGGTACCACGCCGCCCTGATGGTAAATACCCATGAGAACAGCCATGGTGACATTGAAGATAACCCAAGCTCCCTGCAGAAGCACGGATTGCTTCCGGGTACTTTGCATATGGAAACAGCTGAGGAGTAATGGAATGCAGGGAATCAGAAAGCGCGGTTCCTGGTGCGGGAAGACAGAGAGGAGGATGGTAGCTGAGATGGCAGATGCAGCGCGCATGTTCTTCACCCACGAGGGGATGGCTAGCGGCCGTTTGGGATTGCCAGAGAATAGCGACGCGATCATCATGATATAGGCGGGGCCTAGGAGTTGGGGGAGATTGGCGAGAAAGTGTTGGTAGTGTGGGTGGAGGCCATGGTGGGCTAGGTTTGAGGCATCGGAGTTGTAGAGGAAATTGTTGAGGGGGGTAATTACGGGAGAGCGTAGAGCTTCGATGAGTGATACGGAGGGTTTGTAGAAGATTGTGTCGCCGAGGATTGCGATGAAAGCGAAGAACAGTCCGGAGGGGATGAAGGAGAGGATGGAGAGTGGACTGTCGTGGGTCAGTGGGGAGACGTGAGAGGAAGTGAACGCAGATACTGACTTGCGCTGAAAATGCGGCAACAGCAGGAGCCCCGGAAGGACGAGGAAAGCTGGGAAAGTGATGCGATTGAAGACACCAGCTACGGCGATGAATGCGAGCACGGCGCAGGAGAAATGCGAAGAGCGTCGCTACATAGATTAGTCGACTGAGCGTCACCAGGTATTTGTGAGTACCAACTTTGTTCTCAACGATGCGCCGGATCAACACCAGCCCCCAGGCGACCAGCAGAGTCTCGAGCGAATTGGAAAACGTATGCGTCTGATAGGTCCATGTGACATACGACGAGGCCACCAGCACGATGGTTGCGCGCCGATGCCGCGGAGACGGTACGAACTCATAGATTGCCCAATCTTCCAGTACAAAGGTTAACAGGAACATGACACCTCGAATGACATTATAGACCAGCTTTGGGGGCGGGTTCCCCATTCCCATCTCCGAGTAGAACCATTTCAGCAGGCTCATAGGCACATCGTAGACGGGCCATAGCGGGAAGACGCTGCGAATGGGGTGATCGGAGGTGAATTCCCATGATTGTATGGAAGGATAGAAAAAGTTGCGACCTATTTTAGAATTGGATTAGCTGCTGTCGATGCCAATGCCTCGGTATATGGAGTATGGTATCCTTTTTGACAGCGCAGATCAAGCGTCATCCTTGGGATCAGGGGATATTTCGGGGAGGGGCATATGTAGAAGGATCGCATTTCATGTTGCATGTCGCGCATTGGCACAATCGGAGAATATTGACCATCCTGAGGCCCAGGGGTAAATGAACCAACCTGCAAAGATCTCTGGACCCTGAAAGTTCTCGTCCGGATGGAGATAGCTGGGTGACAGCGCAAAGTAAACACGAATCACCAGTAGAAGCAAATAGGTTCGCCTCCACATGACTCAGATAGCTATTTGGAGACTTATTGCATGTCAGGCAGAAGCGAAGACTAAAAGGGATCGATATAATCGATATTAGGAGTATTAATATGTATAATAATAAGACAGCGACCAGAGTTGAAAGGGGATTAAATGAATGTATCGAGTTCCCCTCCGAAAAAGGATAAGCTTAGACGAGACGCGTCGGAGGGGATGAGAAGTGATATCACTGGCTATAGAAAAGGAAAGGAATATTAGCCAGTACTAAAGCACTTCTACATATTCGTACTCCAGATATAAAACATTGCTATGAATTGTGCATACTTACATATTACTTTACATTCATCAACTACTTGTACTAGTCAGCCAATAGTCACTCAATTATGCCTAAAAGAGCTCTAAATAAAAGTGCTTGACTCTCACTTAAATTCATGTTTCTTTTGATACATACCACTGAATTCTGCCTTGCTAGTGCCTTGTGATAAAAAAAAAAAAAAAACCAGAAAACACACCTTTTCCGCCTCCGATTCACTAGTAATATATTACCACCCATTACGGTAATCCAGCTCTTTCAGTCTCCGTCGACATTGTGACTCTCTCTTTCTTCAACTCTCTGACGGATTCCTTCATTTCTAAAACAAGGCTGTTTTATCATATAAACGACAGGTTTGTTCCCGCTGCCCTTATCCCTATGCTAATCTCTTCCATCACTTTTCTCGAATTTGAAGCTTGTCAGTACAAGTGATTCCTTCCCCGCCTTTAAACGTCTCTACTTGTTGTCATCCAACCATGCATTCACTGAGTCTGACCCTGGACTAATCGCCTTTTACCAGAAACTCTCTAAAGAGCCTTTAAACAACATACCCCTCAAAATGGCTACTTCCACCATCACTCTCACCAGCTCCGACGGCGTTGAGATCAGTGTCGGTAAGTGGTCGATCCAAAGCGCTGCGTGCCATATGCCATATGCCATGCACCATGCACCATGGACTAACTGTTTCTCTCCTTCTAGAGCGTGATGTTGCGGAGCGTTCCATCCTCATCAAGAACATGCTCGAAGACTTGGGCGAGTCGGACGAAGCTATCCCCATTCCCAACGTGCGTCTTTCATATCCCTTGTCGACGGTTGCGGTAATACTGATTTCCATGGTGTAGGTCAACGAGGCAGTTCTGCGCAAGGTGATTGAATGGTGCACCCACCACAAGAGCGACCCTCCTAGCACCGGTGACGATGACGACTCCCGCCGCAAGACCACCGACATCGACGAGTGGGACCAGAAGTTCATGCAGGTCGACCAGGAGATGCTTTTCGAGATTATCTTGGTACGCCATACTGAATATCTGATAGGGGAATATTCTTTAACTAACGGTTTTCTTTTATAGGCCGCCAACTACCTCGATATCAAGGCATTGCTGGACGTTGGCTGCAAGACCGTCGCCAACATGATCAAGGGCAAGTCGCCCGAGGAGATCCGTAAGACCTTTAACATCCAGAATGACTTCACCCCCGAGGAAGAAGACCAGATTCGTCGTGAAAACGAGTGGGCTGAAGAGTGAGTTACACTAGTCCGTGAACCATGTCGAATCACTGCTAAATGTGATCCTTCCTACAGCCGCTAGGTTTCTTTTTCCATCTGCGTGATTATTTGCTATGATATCCTCTGGAATATTGCTAGGAGAACAAATTTAATGATGATGAAACGGGACTAGATCCTCCAATAACACGGCGTTAGGCTTCTTTCAGGTCAGCGATTTTTCTTCTCTTTCGCTGGGTCTGTTTGCTCTTCGTTTCAGGCCCGGATTTCATATTCCACTTAGAATGGATTCGGATTGATCTACGATAAGCCCAATAAGACATATTCAGTCCCCTTGCGTAACAAGGTCGAGACACCTATTGGACCTCGGTGTTTAGTCTGAAATACACATGTAGAACGATATCGCCGCGCAATATTCCTGTCATAGACATTTGAAATTTTCACGTTTCAGCTCGTGTACATCATACGTAGGACATGCTAGTAAGTCAAGAACCGCAACATCAAACCCAACCCCCGGGCATATAATTGTCTCCGTAGTTACTGTTTTCTTTCGAACTTGACAAATGCAAAGCCATCCATCCATCGACCTTAATTAAGTACATTGGTACTTATAGTCCAGATCGCGCGTGGGAAACAAGACGAGATCACGAATTGAGAAACGAAAAAAGTATGAACTTGTCGAAACTAGAAGTAGATGAATAATTCTTTCAATTCGAACCAGTAACCATAGTCGGCGCGTAACAAGCCGAGCCCATAGACGTAAATTAACATTTTGTCGAGCTAGCCATCAACAACCAGTCATCTAGAAAATTTTTCGCTCTTCTTTTATTCTTTCAGGAGGAACACATTCGCGGCGTCATGATCGAACGAAAACAGGCATCTCGGTCGGATGGAAAGGAGGAGGGTGAAATATCGACGAATTTACAGACCGAGACGGGTCTTGCGCCAGTGCCTCCGCTTAGCGTTGTAGCTGTGAGAAGAGGATCGTTAGCCTTCTGCCTTTTGTCTCCACTTGGTTCCAAATCGGTCGTGGTGAGTAGCGGGAGAAAAGTTGTCGTCGCTCCTGAAAACCGCCAGAGGAAATCGATTCAGGTGTTTTCGAGGTCAGGGAGTATTTACTTGATGGTGTTACCGGTCCTCAAACGAATCCACTGAGGGATGGGACGGTTCTGGCGCTGGGCTTTAGCAAGCTTCTGCTTGGTGCGGAAACTCTTGTGGCTCTATACGGACATTTTAGTTAGCAACTTTCTCCCTGGATGAAAATCACAGATAAAATATGCAAATTGAGGGCAAATGGCATGTCTCATAGCAAAAAGGGTACTAACCGGCATCTTGAAGACTTGTCGCGACGGCGAGCTGAAAAGGTATGGTCTGGCGATAAGTGAGGTTGTCGACTCTTTGACGGGCGGTGATTTTTGTGCGGACAGGGCTTGGTGGGTTCGCTTCGGGGGTCAGGTGATTTGCGCCTGGGGCAGGCATAGAATTGACACCTGAAATTCCAGGCATTTATTATCCGCCCTAGTTACGGAATAGTTAACGTAGAAGTTTATATTGTACAGTTCTGGCTGGAAGGATTTGGCGATGTGTTGGACTAGAGTTTTACAATTGCCTAAGAAGCAGCCGATAGCTACAGTTGGAATGAGGCTTTCGATCAGCAGCTCTTCTACGGTTTCTGCTTTGACCAAACCAAATTGTAACTATCTGCTGTTGAGCGGTAAGGTCTTGTATTTGATCCGTCCATAACTATTCTACTATGCGAAAAATTCAGTTAAAGTGTGACTCAGGAGGGAGAAAAACGTAACTTCAGCTAAGCAAACATCCGGGATTCCTCTCTTTGTTCGTGTGCATCACCAACCCTGACTCGGGCGTTTACTGATCACCGGGAGACAAAAGACTCTGTACAGGGCTCTTGTATTCTTGGCATGCCATGTAGCTCAGTGGAGAAGCATAATTTTGTTATACAACTCCCTTTATTCTTTGCTAAAAGGTGCAAAGGACAAACAAAAACCAACTATGATTGGCTAAAATACGAAGCATAGGTCTAAATCTTCGGCCTCGCAGAAGAATTCCAGGGATTTTGTTCCTCGTGGCGTAGAACCTTGATTAACAGAGCTGTCATCGATCCCCGATTGTCAATGCGGACTCCTGTCCTACCCATGCAGCAAAAGTGACCGGTCGGAAACCCTCCGTTCCTTTCCTGCAAAGACAGGAGCCGCTTCAAATCTTGTCAGTAAACAACCGGAGGCAGACCAATCACTTGACAAAATGAGGCACGCAGCACAAGGGATACCGGGTTTGTGGGAGCGTTGGTTCGCTCGAGGAGTGTCTCCCGAATGATATTGAGCCGGCCTTTCAGCCCATCCGCGCCACATTCCATGTACAGCTGAGCCATGAAGTAGAGAAAGGCCTCGGGCATAGTATAGACCCGATTTCCATAGAGATAGGGCCGGTTCTTGTGACATTGAACCTCCAAGTCTTCTGTCTTCTTGATTCAGGGATCGTCGCCGCGGCCGAAGTGGTAGAAAACCCTAAGTATGTTGACGCAGACTTCGGGGGTTGTTCGGGTCTATTGTCGCAAAAGTAAGTCTGCACAATTCCATCCGGGTTCTGTTTTAATGCCATTTTGTCCAGAACCAAATTTACGCCGGCCAGTTTCGAGAAATAGCTCTCCGGAAGAGACAAGTAAGTCATGGATGCGGTGTCTGCGTCGGTGGGGAACTCCTTGGCCGTAAGAAGGGGATCCTCGTAGAAATAGTTCCATAAACCGCTGTTGGCATTGGCTTGTGTAGAGAGCTTTGTGTTCTTCCCGTGGCCATTGGCCTGAGCAGTAGACGGCCACTTGAGGTCAACAAGATTTGCATCCAGTGAATTCCCGGATGAATAATTGAACAAAATTATCCATCAGAGTGATATCCTGGCCTTTGGCAACGCTACGATGGTTCCAGCGTTGGCTTTCTTGTACACCTCAGCCCTTGCAAGCAGGTCTTGGAACAAATTCCGCGATGTTTGACAAATGATGCCAATTAAATCCTTGTCGACTACAAGACCATAAATTCCAGGGGATTGTGCGGCACAGATATTTTTAGCCTGGTCATCGACTACGACCACTTGATTGGGACGGCATCCGGTCTGGTCAGTGGCATGCTCAAAGAAGTACAAGTCAGGCTTTTGCATGCCAACATGGACGCCACAACCGCGCTGAGCAGTGACCAAGGCAGATTTATATTCTGACGGCTTGAAAATTATCTTGTTCCTTTTAGTGGTGTGTTCAAGCTCGGACTTACGACGTACTCGACTGATGTTCGACATGGCATAGATTTGCAAGTCCGGGTTGGAGCCCTTCAACTCTTGGACGATCTGCGCCAATTGCTCGTTCACAATCATCGAATTTTGCGCCTGTTCAAGGCTCTCCTTGACAACTAAGGTCTTGACACCGATAATGACGCTAAATTGTTGGTACATTATCAGATTTGCATCCCTGAGTACCAAGTACGCATAACTTATTTCGTATGCCTGGTCGAGTGAGGGATGGCCTCTATCCAGATCATGCCAGACTGTAGATGTACAATCAGGCGCAGTTGGTTTAACGAGCGTAGTGGTGTTCCGGGGGGGTTCGATCGAGCAGAACACCCTCGAGATCAAATATTAGAGCTTTGAAATACGGAGTCATAATCTGTCAACGAATAACGAACCTAACTTGTGATCCAATAGGTCAGATCGGTTTGTTCCGCTGAAAGCTTTAATGGGTGGTGATGAACATATATGTATACACAAGTCAGGCTGAATAGTATGAATAGATTCAGCCTTTTATGCGGGTGTCTCTATTAGTCCTCAGGGAAGCTGTCCCGGAGTTCATCTCGAGCCCTAGGAATTCAAACCGAGTCGAAGACTATAATCTCCGGATGAATAAACCTAAACTTTATCTCTAATACCAGAGTGCCATAGAGTGTCTAGGAATGGTGAGAGTAGCTCTTCTTTCAATGAAAATATGCCGGTCTCGTATTCATTTGCAGTCCGAATTAACTCTGGACCAGAAGACTCAATGTTCGCTTCGATTGAGTAGATAGTAAAGTACTGCTTAGGGCTTCATGTCAAATTCATTTGCATGGAGATGCATACGTCTACGGAATACGCGTTGCAAACGTATCCGCGGATGACTGAAACCGCGAGATTTACACCTGTATATTCAGGCATTTATAGCGTTCCTCAGGAATACGAATCCCGCTGACATAACCGTATTCAGTTCCGATAAATTATTTTCAGAAACGTATATGGTCAGGTGTCTATCCGTATTGATTAAAGTATACATGTAAAATAGCAAATTGCGCGTTCATGTGCATTGCACGCCTCGGTTCTTTTGTGCTCGTATACTCGTAAAGGGCCAGGCCGGCAAACCGGGGGCACATATCGTAAATAAAAGTTCTTATAGGGCGTCAAATGGCGGTGTTCAGAAACATCAAAAGCACAGAGCACATACAGAACGGAATGCTTCCCCTCCGATCCCCGTCACCGTGTTTTACTACAGAACGGAGTACTCTGTACAGCAAATCAAAGGATTCGATCTTTGCCCTATAGAGAGCCCGAAGCAACTGATGACTCCCGGGTGACCATCTTGGATTCTAACTGGCTCATTTGCAAGCGATATGCTGCAGCCGTTCGCAATTTGCTCGTTTTCGTTCTCGCTGTTGCAGGGTACGGAAACAAGACTTTGATACCCGAAATGGTAGTGGGTCTGTTTATCAGATTGGCTGTCGGAGTACGAGTAAGGAAATAAGGAAATACTTCTAAACTCCGTTATCGTTATAATGGTGATCACATGCCACACAATAATGTACATAGTTGACAGTAATGTTGACTCATGTTGACTGGTAGGTCATGCGATAGCGCATAAAATTATGCAAGATATGGACGGAGATAATTTTGACGTTTCGTACTCCGTATTTCTGGCGTATTCCGCCGTTTATCTGTGGCGGCTCCATAACAATCTACGGAGTACCCCAGGGTCTACACTAAGAGGGTCACCACTACTATACAATTCCAAAATCTCCTTAATATCCAGCGTAAAAGGGGCTTTCAGAAGAGATACTAACTAGCAGTGTTATCATAAGGTACTTGATTCTTTGTCTATACCACATAATCAGCATAGTCGGACTAAAAAAGCCCCTCCGATTGGCTGATAAGGCGAAGCATTGTCACTGCATAAAAAAAACTTTCATCGGATCGGAAGACTAGACCCCCGACCGCCGGGCCAGAATTATGCAGAACACGGACAGTCCCGCAAAAGGCGTAAATTCGTAACTAAAAAAGTAAGCTCTTGGTGGCCCTCGAAGACCTCAAAAAGGCTCCATGTCCGTCGTTTTTCTTCCTTTCGCTGGAGAGTCTGTTCATAGTCTACTGCCATTCTTACAATCTAGAGTGGACGGGATCTTGGTCGTTTAATCCAAGGACCGGCCCTAATTCGTTCTCTTTGTTCGTCACGATCAATATTTAACCGGTTGGGACTGACGTCGTTTGGCAAGAACAATATCTCTGCTGTTGACGACGCGATATCTCGAATCCCCTTTTTTATCTTGTTATTTCCTCTTACATTATCTTTCTTTTTCTTTTTTTTTTTTTGTTTCTTTCGCTCTGCAAGTCATACGTTACATGGTGTGAGGATCACGTCGGCAAAATTTACCACATAACCTCACCATATTGTCATTGAAGCTCTTGCTTCAACAACCCTCTGGACAATATGGCACAACCAGGTGACGGTTCGAAAGCCCTGGAAAAGGCCGTGGAGGATGGCCCCGTAGTGTCAACGCAGCGACAGACTCCCTCGCGCGCCTCCAGTACGACAATCGGGCAGCATGCAGGCAAAGAACAAGAAGCCAAATCAACTCCGGCGGCCAATTCATCCGATTCAGATGCCTTATATGCTCACATTCCAGAACACGAGAAACAAATTTTGAAGGACCAGCTTGATGGACCGGAAGTGAAGGCATCATTCGTCACCCTCTTTCGATATGCTTCCAAATGGGACATTGTGATTATGATCGTGAGCGCTATCTGCTCTATTGCAGCTGGTGCAGCGTTGCCCCTGTTCACGGTGAGTAGCCAGTACCTCACATGGTTAGGAATTATCAATGTTGATTAGTGCACGCTTTCAGATTCTATTCGGTTCGCTAGCCACGGCCTTCCAAAGTATCACTTTGGGAACCATTCCATACGACCAATTCTACGACAAACTAACGACCAACGTTTTATACTTTGTGTACCTCGGTATCGGTGAATTTGTCACAGTCTACATCTGCACCGTTGGATTCATCTACACTGGCGAGCATGTTACGCAAAAGATCCGTGAACACTATCTTGAGGCCATTCTGAGACAAAACATGGCCTATTTCGATCGCCTGGGTGCCGGTGAAGTGACCACCCGCATTACAGCAGACACGAACTTGGTCCAAGAAGGTATCTCCGAAAAAGTTGGGTTGACTTTGACCGCAATCGCTACCTTCGTCACGGGTTTCATCGTCGCCTATATCAAGGGTCCCAAATTGGCCGGAATTTGTACATGTACCATCGTTGCGATTGTCTTGATCATGGGAGGCAGCTCGCGATTCATCGTCCGGTTTAGCAAGCAAGCCCTGGGCAGCTACGGTGCCGGTGGAACTGTCGCGGAGGAAGTAATTAGCTCCGTTCGAAATGCCACCGCATTTGGCACTCAAGACAAGTTGGCCAAGCAATACGAAACACATCTGGCCGAAGGAGAGAAATGGGGCATCAAAGTGAAAATCATAGTTGGGGTTATGATTGGTGCCATGTTCGGAATCATGTTTATGAATTACGGTCTTGGTTTCTGGATGGGCTCTCGCTTTCTGGTCGCCGGCGATATGGATGTAGGTCATGTTTTGACAATCTTGATGGCCATCTTGATCGGCTCGTTCAGTTTGGGAAACGTTGGTCCACACGGTCAAGCTTTCACCAATGCTCTAGCCGCATCTGCTAAGATCTACAATACTATCGACCGCCACTCCCCATTGGACCCTTTCTCTGATGAAGGAAAAACGCTCGAGCACTTTGAAGGAAACATCGAGTTCCAGGACGTCAAGCACATTTACCCCTCGCGCCCGGAGGTCACGATCATGGATGGCGTCTCGCTGAGCATGCCTGCTGGAAAAACCACGGCCTTGGTTGGGCCTTCGGGGTCTGGAAAAAGTACCGTGGTCGGCCTTGTTGAACGCTTTTACCTTCCTGTTGGCGGTACTGTACTGTTGGATGGTCATGACATCCAAACTCTCAACCTTCGTTGGTTGCGCCAACAAATCTCACTCGTCAGTCAGGAACCTATCCTTTTTGGGACCACGATTTATCAAAACATATGTTACGGTCTTATCGGTACGAAGTTCGAGCAAGAGCCTGAAGGAAAAATCCGCGAACGAGTTGAAGAAGCAGCGAGGATGGCCAACGCCCATGACTTCGTCACAGCACTGCCAGAAGGATATGAAACCAATGTTGGCCAACGGGGTTTCCTGCTCTCTGGTGGTCAAAAGCAACGTATCGCCATTGCCCGTGCCATTGTCAGTGACCCGAAAATTCTGTTGCTTGATGAAGCAACATCTGCTTTGGATACCAAGTCGGAAGGTGTTGTGCAAGCAGCGCTTGACAGGGCCGCTGAAGGTCGGACAACTATCGTGATTGCACACCGCTTGTCTACGATTAAATCAGCCCATAACATCGTTGTCTTCGTCGATGGTCAGATTGCTGAGCAGGGCACTCACGACATGCTCGTCGATCGCGAAGGCCCTTATCGCAGCCTTGTGGAGGCGCAACGTATCAACGAGGAGAAGGACGCGGATGCCATGGAAGTTGAAGAGGAAACCGATGAGAAACAAGTCGCCGCCGAAGAAGTTGCTCGCATCAAAACCGCCACGAGTGCCTCGGGTTCGATGAACGAAAAGACCGATCAGCCCCTTGCACGAACGGATACCAAGCAGTCTATTTCGAGTATCGTCCTTTCGCAAATGCCACCCGAAACCCAGAAGAAGTACTCTCTGTGGGCATTGATCAAATTCATTGCGGGATTCAACAAGCCCGAGCTCTTATACATGTTTATCGGCCTGGTATTTTCTGTTCTTTCTGGTGGCGGCCAACCGACTCAGGCTGTGCTCTATGCTAAGGCAATCAGTTCGCTCTCCCAGCCTTTGAGCATGTCCGACCAGATCCGACATGATGCGAACTTCTGGTCGTTGATGTTCTTTGTAGTTGGCATTGCTCAGTTCATCAATTTTTCGACTCAGGGAACGGCGTTTGCTGTCTGCTCCGAGCGATTGATCTGTCGGGCCAGAAGCAAGGCATTTCGGGCAATGCTCCGCCAGGATATTACCTTTTTCGACCGAGAAGAGAACAGCACTGGTGCTCTGACGTCTTTTCTCTCTACGGAAACGAATCACCTGTCTGGGATCAGTGGTGCGACTCTCGGAACGATTTTGATGACGACTACGACACTTGGAGCGGCTATCATTATCTCATTGTCGCTTGGTTGGAAGCTGGCCCTCGTGTGTATTTCTGTGGTTCCGGTTTTGCTTTCCTGTGGATTCCTCCGGTTTTATATGCTTGCTCGATTCCAAAACCGATCCAAGAAAGCCTATGAATCGTCCGCCAACTATGCATGTGAGGCGACATCTGCCATCCGTACGGTAGCTTCTCTTACTCGAGAAAAGGATGTCTGGGAACAGTATCACGGCCAACTTGAGGAGCAAGGTCGGAAGAGCTTGGTCTCCATCCTGAAGTCCTCTGTTCTCTATGCTGCTTCCCAGGCCTTGGTTTTCTTCTGTGTTGCGCTTGGTTTCTGGTATGGTGGTACTCTTTTGGGTAAGGGTGAATACGACATCTTCCACTTCTTTGTTTGCTTTGCAGAAATCCTTTTCGGTGCGCAATCTGCCGGAACGATCTTCTCGTTCGCACCGGATATGGGCAAGGCGAAGAATGCTGCTGCAGAGTTCAGAATACTGTTCGACCGGAAGCCCGCCATCGACACCTGGTCTGAGGAGGGCGAAAAGATCGAATCGATTAAAGGCGAAGTTGAGTTCCGCGATGTGCACTTCCGGTACCCGACTCGTGGTGAGCAACCTGTTCTCCGGGGCTTGGACTTGAGCGTTAAGCCTGGCCAGTACATTGCACTTGTCGGCCCCAGTGGATGTGGTAAGAGTACTACGATTGCTCTTCTGGAACGCTTCTATGATGCGCTTGCCGGCAGTGTCCTTGTGGATGGCAAAGACATTACGGAGCTCAATGTGAACTCGTACCGCAGCTTCTTGTCACTTGTCAGTCAGGAACCCACGCTGTACCAAGGAACGATCAAGGAGAACATTCTGCTTGGGTCTGATAAGGATGATGTCTCGGAAGAGAATTTGATCAAGACATGCAAGGATGCCAACATTTACGACTTTATCATGTCTCTTCCGTAAGTTCCTCTTTATAACCTCTTTTCTGATTTAACTCTAACGAAATCATAGTGAGGGCTTCAACACTGTCGTTGGTAACAAGGGTGGCATGCTGTCAGGTGGACAGAAGCAACGAGTTGCCATTGCCCGCGCACTCCTCCGGAACCCAAAGATTCTCCTTCTTGACGAGGCTACATCAGCACTGGACTCTGAATCGGAGAAGGTCGTGCAGGCCGCTCTGGATGCCGCCGCTCGCGGACGTACCACCATAGCCGTGGCTCACCGTCTGAGCACGATCCAAAAGGCCGACATCATCTATGTGTTCGACCAGGGCAAGATCGTCGAAAGCGGCTCACACCACGAACTGATCCGCCTCAAGGGACGGTACTTCGAATTGGTGAACATGCAGAGTCTCGGAAAGGCTCAATAATCTTTCTCCATCATTTCATTCCTTCTCATGACTACTTCGATCTATACCTTTTAATCCCTCCTTTCTCCTCTCACCATCTTCCACCCTAATGTGTTGATGATATAATCTGTTGTGTCACGACAACTGATATCTTTGATATAATTCTTTATATTGCTAATTTTGGTTGATAGAAGGTGTTTTCTGGCTGCATGGCTTAATGTATTTAGACTTGAATGTTGGCATGATGACAAGTACATAATTAAAAGTTGCTGAGATTAAACTTGAACATTACTTTTTTGAATCTGGTATCCGTAACACCTCGTAACATCATAAATCGTCTAAATATAGTGCGCGGTATACACCAGTTAATCCTTCTCATCAGCCCCAAACTCCCTCTGCACCTCAATCTGTCTTACTCCACGTGCCTCGGCAATTAGCCCCATCAATCCCTGGGCGACATCCTTGATCTCATTGTAATCATGGAGAAGACGGATGTGCTGTTTTACCGTGATTGAAGGGTCATTTCTAGTGTTATTAGCATACACATACGGACCGAGGATTGGAGACAGGCATACTTTAGCTTAGCTTTAACCTCTGCAATTTCCCCCTCGAGTTGCTGTGTTTGGGATTGGAGGTCATTGATGGATGCTTGGAGTGTTTTCTATTTATGTTCAGGTTAGAATTTTACCTATATGTGCAAATGTGAGGAACATACTACCTTCCTTTCCCGCTGGAGCTGTTGCGGCGAAAGGTTCTGGCCGTTTTCGGATGATGTGAGATGGGGAGAATCGTGTTGAGAGGGCTGGGATTTATTTATTGCTGGGGAGAAGGGCATGTTGATCGGTTATTGGGTATGGTTGGTTATTCGTGGTTCAAGAGGATTGGTTATCTGGTTGTGGTTGGTGGTGGCGTGGTTGTACAGAACGGAGTCGGAGGAGCACAAGTAAAAAAGTGGGCTGTGATGATCTGAGATATGAATAGAATCGATTCTGGCTGGGCCAATAGAAAGGGGGATATTCAATCATAAGACACTGTTCTCTAAGATGAACGAAAGAGACATACGAAAATGAGTAGTAATACTTATTAACGTGAGGCCGAGTGGTATCTCAACGATTTTCTGAAACTTAGAAGACTCCTTCCTTTTGGCCACTAATTCTCCTATTACAATTATTCTTGCTATTTATTATTTACTCCTCTAACCGCATATATTTATAAGTAAAAAAAATATAATCTCCTATTTTGTTAGGTATATCCACTTTATCGGCGTCGTTGTGGCCATAGCATCCGTCCAATCCCATTGGCCCTTTTCCATTCCCCGTAATCCAAAGCGTCGTCGTCTTCTATTCCTCTTTTCCCTCCTTCAACTCCCCACTTTCTCACCACTTCTTCTCGGGTTGTTTTTCTCGGCTGTCTTCTACCGCGATGACGATACCAAATCCACTCCAACTCCGGGGTGGAGGCGTGTTGGCCGCGCTCTTCTTCCTCGTCCCGTCCGTTCTCGCGCATGGCGGCCATGAACAGGTCCCTGAAGGCAGTGCCGTTTCCGAAGATCCTATTGTACGTGGCCGTTCTCTTTTGTTTGGGTTTGGGGAATATGAACTGATGGTGACAGGACTCGACATTATGGATTCACATGATTCTTATGGGTCTCGCGTTTGGTATCATCTTTCCGCTGGGCATGGTTCTGGGGGTATGTTCCTGGTCATCGTGGATTATTCCTGAGGGATATCATACTAATCAACTAGATTACTCGCTCTCGCTGGCATGTCCCCCTCCAAGTCGTCGGAACGATCATCGCCGTCCTGGCCTACTTCCTCGGGCACGCTCACAAAGGTCGTCAATTCGCCAAGAACGTCCACGCTCCATTCGCGAATATCCTGATGATCCAGCTTATCGCGCAGGTCCTGTTGGGTGTCTATCTGAAGCTACACCTGTCCAAGGGGATCCATGGCTGGATCCGTCGGATTGTTGTCATTCTGCATGGAATACTCGGAAAGGCGATGCCGGTTGTCAGCTGGGCTCAGATGCTCTTTGGTGGAATCACTGCATTGGGCTTCTGTCGGGATGACCACATGGGCCAATGTCTGGCGCATTTCATCATGGGAAGTGCTTTCATCGCCTACGGAATCTTACTGACCCTCCTGCTCCTTGTTGGTCAGTACTGGCTGCGTCGCACCGGCCGCAGCCAGGAGTTCTTCGACTCGCTCGTTATCGCCGCGTGGGGATGTGTCAACACTTTCACTGAGCATCGCTGGGGAGGTCCATGGGTGCATAACGACCTGCAGCACACCACCATGGGAATTGTTTGGTGGTGCGCTGGTCTGCTGGGTGTCTGGCTAAGCAGGAAGCGCAACGGCGGGCCCAAGCGGAACATTATCCCTGGTATCGTTATTATGTTGACCGGTTATGCCATGTCTGGTCACCCTCAGCACTCGATGGTCAGCACTATGATTCACTCGTTCTTCGGCTACACGCTCATGGCTGCTGGAGCTACGAGAATCATTGAAATTGCCTTCGTGCTGGGGGATCGCAGCACTCTCAGTGTGGATGGTACTAATCCCAACAGCTTTCAGTACCTACCACCTTTCGTACGTTTCTTCTCCCCGGCACCGTTTCTATCAATATTAACGATAGTCTAGCTTCTGTACGCTTCGGGTTTCCTTTTCATGGGTGCCACCGAGGAGCAAATGCAGCTGTTGGAAGACGCCGGGATTACTCATGTCTCCTACATTCTGATTCTATTCAGCATCGCCTTTATTCTATTCCTCTGTAAGTTAACCCCTTAAAGCATGGTCTGCAGGGGTTATCTAACCTGTTTAGTCGTGAACATCCTCCTCCACATCTACGCCGTCCACGCATGGCCCGAATCTGCCAAAGCACAGCCCAATGATGACGACATCGATGCTGAAGATGGCGCACACCCTAAGCCCTCCCGTGCAAACGGTCATGCACGGACACCATCCGAGGCGCGGCACATCCACGACGCAGAGGCTTTTGAACTGCAGGGTCTTATCTCCGATGAAGAGGAAGAAGCCAGAGCCGGGCACCAAGGTCAGCACCAAAAGAATGAGGATGGGGAGCCTCAGACTCACCACTAAACCGTCTTAAGTCGTTACAATAATGGAATAAAAGTTGGTGGATTATCATATATACATAAATAGTGCCCTGGCTTCTCTTCTTTTGAATTTCAATTGTTTAGTGACATCTACCTCCGTCTTTTTATGCAGACGGAGTCCCGGATATCGATTTGCTTCTGCTGACTGGCGTTGGGTGGGATAGGCTTGCTTTTTATACCATTGTACACTATTCGTGCATATATTCAGCATTCATGGAGAAAGTCTTTGTTTCTGCAAGCATTAAGCGCAACCAAATTCAATCAATGCATTTCTGCATATGCGATACTATCGTACACTCATGATATTCAACTAGCTAGGTCTTAAAACAAAAACAACTACTACGTAAGATCAGTAACAGCGTTGTTATTATCATTCACAGCAGCCGGCCCAGGATGAACAGGAATCGCATTAACAGCCGCAGGCGTGACAGCCGGCATGGCATTCTCAACTTCCGGTGGGAAAAACGGGTGCAACGGATAAACCGGCGCGACGGACTTGTCGCCATCAAACAGCAAAAGGTTCTGCAGTGGTTGTTCACGTGCACTTAGGACATTGATAACGTCCTGCGCGAGAGAACCTCCTACGAATGCGGCGACGGGGCTCAGTTCACTACCTAGATTTTCAAGGAAGGTGCGCAGGAAGGTTGAGTCGAGCATGCTGATATCGAGTTTCAGCTCGTGATGCCTATCGCGGGCGAGTTTGGTGAAAGTCTCGAGGTCCTGGCGGGACGAGAGTGTGGGGAGGGGTGTGTGGTTTCCGGGGAGTTTTTGAAATTCCCACAGCGCACGGAGGCAGGTGAGGAGCGGTGTCACTTGTCTTTTGCGACGCGGGAGACGGGTGAAATCCTCGGGGAGGGGGGAGGTATTTGCCAGGATCAGGGGGGAGTAGACCTCTCGCTTGGTGACCATCTCGATGACCTTGTCGCTTTCAACTTTCGTGTTGATATTTAGTACGCTTCGTGTTGGGGTCTCTTGGGTTTGCGAGGGGATGTTGGATTTGGAGCGTTCGATAACGAAGTCGTGCGAGATTAAATCTGAGAAGACGTAGCCGTAGAAGCCGTGAAGGCCAGCGGCGTAGAATGGACGGTTGGCGAGACGGCAGGAGGCGTTGATCGTGGTGTAGGTGGAGAAGTCGAGCTCTGTTGCGATGACGATGTCGAACTGGGAGAAGTAGTCTGGTTGTTTAGCACGAACATTCTCTGTGTCGACTCGTAGTTGGACACGGGGGTTCATGGCGCGGATTTCAGCGCTGGCTGCTTGTGCGCGCTGTCGAAGTTAGCGCCTCAATTAAGAAGTTGGTCGTTGGGTGGATACATACATTCTGCCCAACATGCTCTTCACGCAAAAAGAACTGCGCTCCCAAATCCTCCTCCGTGACGGTCTCGTGGTCCAGGATGGTCAGGCCACCAATGCCTGCCAACACCAGGTTCTTGGCAACCTCGTTCGCCAGCGCCTTAATAGTGATTAGGAGTATTTTCGCGGATCGTAATCTAGAAGTCTTGTCAATGATATCCGTATAGGAATATGTCCAGAGATGCTTACTTTTCCTGCGCCTTCACACCCCAGAGTCGAATCTGACGGTCATACAGAGCAATCTCGTCTATTATATCCCAAAAATTGTCTGTCAGATGTCCATTCCTCTTCGTATGGGACTCGTATTCTTCTTACCAGCGCTAATCGATTGGGTCATGTTCTCCTGCGACGCCATCTTGTCACACGACGTGAATTGTTCTTCAGTTAATAAGGCTTGGTGGAAGAAGAGCCGTAGATAATCCGGAGCAGCGGAAATAGATCAATGTTTCGCAAAGATAATGAGTAGTTTGTGAATCTCAAACAAGTTGTCGTGTCGCGGGAATCTAGGGTATAATAAGTATGCGGAGGTGAGGAATAAGCAACAAAGAGACGCAGCAATAAGGCCAGAATAAAATACTAGTAATGCACGAGCCCCTTAGCTGTTTAATCGAAGAAACCTTGTTGCAAGCACACCCGGATTGTCTTTTCTCGTCGTTTGTCCTTTTTGTCGCATCGCAATCCAACATCCGCCGCTTTTATCGGAGCGGAGCCGGTATCACGTGCCTGTCGATAACTTATCGCCCTCGTCAGGCGATTTCATTTCATCACAGCCAACTCCTCGACTTCTGGTGCTATTCTTACTATCTCGCAGGTTCGGGAGGTTTATCGTTTGTCTTTCTGGCACCGGATCAGTTATTATTGTCTGGTTTGCTCTCTTTTTCTTCCTAGTGTTCTATGCATATACATTTCCCGGTATGAATGAATCCCTCCTTTTCCCCCACTTTATTTAAGTTGGCTAACTTGGGCGGTGTCTACGAAGTAGGATGGTACGTTTATGATTACTACTGCTGCCTGTTCATTCGTCAGATCCACAATCTCGTACTACGGAGCTAGAAGGAAATACTGCCCACGTCATCACGTTCATCTGTATTGACCGGTGTTATCAACTATAGTCGGGGAACCACGACTACCCTCCCGCCTCCCGACGTACCGCTCGTACAAGCGCTCATAGCGGGCGATCCCAGCAACGATCCGGCCAGGCACAACATCTCCGGGACTACTTGAACTCAGAGCGAATGCGGAACCCTAATATGAACCACAACCGCATGGTGGAGCTCTTGGACGAGGAAATGCGCGAGTATCTCGCCAGCGAGGCGCAGACCAGAGCAGCAGTGGACCATCAGATTCGACAGCTAGAATCGCACATCTCTAGAAATAACGACCGTGGAATGAATTCTCAAGATACTTCACGCCAAGGTAGCAGGCCTACCAGACGTCGGGGTAGAGGGACAAGGAGCAGGGAAACCGAAAACAATACTCTACTCGACGAGCCGATACCTCATCTCGAGTCGCCCACTGTAGTTCCTCAGGAATTAGAAATTCACCGTCAGTCGAACCGACGGGTCAAACGGAGAAAGCTCGAGTCTGACGATGTCAGAGAAGGCACACGCGGTTTCTCTTACGGACAATTCGGCCAGGTCGTTCCAGGAGCTCTCAGGATGGAAATAGCCAGCTGTGACGGGGGAACATATGAGCCTGATGGTGAGAGCTCGTTTCCGGATAATATCCTGCAGAACGATTCGTCTGTCTATTGCACCAAGTCGGATCGCTGCAACTTGCTCTTGAAGCACGTCGGAGGGGCGCCATTCTGCTTGAAGAGTATTGTCATCAAAGCTCCAAAAACCGGTTATGACTCTCCGTGCGTTTTTGAAATCAAGGGATTCAAATGGAACAGTTCACTAACTGTCTTTAGGATACAAGAAGGAATGGTCTTCGTCTCCATGGCATCCGACGATATTTTGGCGCGTACCGCTCAAGACCAAGTTCATTACTCTGGTGCTCGACGGCGACGGCGTAATCGACGAAGCGGATTATCACAATATGCGCCTTTTTACCCATTGCCATATGAGGAGGAGCTAGAAAGGGTCATGCGCGGGAGTCCAGATTCCGAAGACTTGACACAAACCATGGTCGATCAAGTGGCCGGCTTCAGGGTTACGACCAGTCATAACGACGATGATCGCGATATTCCAGAACAACTTAATGAACAAAACGATGACAACCGCCCTACCGTTGAGGAGATCGAAAGGCTGCGGATGGGACAGCTAATGGAAGACGACATAGTCTGTACTGACAGCGAGGATAGCGAAAGCGACTCTACATCTGATCTTAACTTTTCTACGCCCCAATTTGACTCGTTTTACCGTCGACGACGCAGACTGTCGAACTTGCTGAGAATTCCAGGCCAACAGCAATCACAACAGCAAAGACAGCATCAAACCACTAGTTTCGTTGAGCCGCCTATGGATTCCCAAACGAACGCCTTGCGAAGTAATGGACTTCTACGACCACATGCGCAGTTCTTCATTGAGCGTACGCAGAGTATGGTCAACATCAAGTTCGATCCTCCTCCGTACGTCATTTTCTGCCCTACACAACTAAAAAGCCTTGCTAAGTGACCTTGCAGATCTGGTAGATACATTCTAATTAAACTATGGAGTCCCCATAACGGAGGTAACATCGACATCCAAAGCGTCATCGTGCATGGCTTCGCGGGTCCTCGTTACTTCCCAGCCGGTGGTTTACGATAATTACGTCTCCCTCGTCACTCTCCCTCTCTCTGTCCCTTCCTCTCCGCCTCTTCTCTTCATCGCATTATACGGAAATTTTTACGATACAGCTGGGTACTAGCTATAACTTGTTTCATAAATTCGTTGTCACTTTGCTTTACTTCATGGGTTGTTTTGAATGGGATGGGTCGTTATTATTACTTATGCATACACCGGATGGGCTCGGATCGGTTCTGGTTCTTTAATTTATATCTGTACTAGCATATATATATAGATGGTACTTCGTGGGATGGATCTAAGGGATAAATAGAATGGTACTTATATTATTATTCCTGTATTCTATTGGTTTTCTTTCCCTGCAGAAGGGTCTTTGGTGCCACTCACTGCACCTGACAGAAATCAGGATAGTAGCAATATACCTGTCGATGAGATGATATTAAGATTACAACCAAAGTTGAGTATACCCAATAAAAAAACCCAAAGAAGCCAAGACTTAAAAGAAAGATCAACAAGCAAGCTAAAAACCACAATAAGGAGTTATTTGACCAAAAAAATATGTACAATGGCCCCGAACTCTCTCTCAGACGAGACATCCAAGACGTAAAAGGGCAAATAATAATATCAGAGACAGAGGTGAAAAGACATAATAAACGCGGTCTACCGCGCTATTATTAAAATGATAATGTTGTCAACCTTGCCAAGCCCTTAAACAGGGCAGATTGACATCTTCTCGAATCAATCGATGGTTCGTTGCTCATCTCTCATGCAAAGATTGTTAAACGCCTGGTGCAGTGATGGAAAGAATTGCCTGTTGAAAAACTGGGTAGAGCAATGCTCCAGAAAAGCAAAATATACAAAATAGAAAGGGGAATCCAACTCCAACCATGTAGAAAGCAAACAAGAATTTCCAAAAAGTGGGCACGTACGGCCATTTATATGACAACGACATCCCCTTCAGCATCCGCTGGATCAGAAGCCATCATGTCACCATATTTCCCCACGGACATCAGCATGGAATCGTCGTCAAGGTCTATTGCGCTGTCATCGTTGTTCCCAGCATGGAAATTCGCAATATTCTCCGCGACAGTGGTGGGCTTGGGATTATCCAAATTGTTTTGATCCGATTCAGTTTCCATGCGGCTACCCTGTGGATTTTGTGGCGCTTCACTGGTTGCTGCCGTGGAAGGTGCCCGAGAGACCGACTGACGGTCCTGCTGGGCATCAGTCGCCATGAGTGTGTCATTCTTATCACTAATGGCAAAGCTGGGCTGCTTCATGGCGAAGTTGTTCACCCCAGATGGTTCCGTCCCGAGTGCTGCGTTCTGCAAAGAACTTGGTGAAGAGTGCATGAATCCACCTTGCTCCGCTTGCCAAACCATCATCTCGTGAAAGAACACCTTGGTCATCCACCAAGCACTGAAGCTCTGGGCACCACCCAATGTTAACCGACGAAGGACACAATCCCATAATGCGTCTACCTTTTCTATAATACACTGTGCACGGTGATTGGGGAAAATTAGTGGTAAATTGAGTATGAACGACACCCATTTGTCGGGGAAGTTGTAGTCATCGCCTGTTGCGGACTGAACAGGGTACTTATGCGCCTCGATATCATCTTCGGTATCAGGGGTTGCAAAAAAAGGCTGGCAAGGAGCGACACTTGGGTCGCTTACGGGAGTAAGTAAGGCCCGGATGTCGTGCTTAAGAATCTGTTCAGTTACCCGCTCAGCACATGTCGGAATGTTTGCTTTTGAGATCATCTCCTTAGGGTCAACCAAGCTCTTGAAATCGAACCACATCTGATTCCTGTTGTCAGGATGGCAAAGCCAGGCAGCGGCCGCGTTGGCGGACTGGTTCACATCAAGCATGTGCCGAAGAAGACTGCAGAAGATGTTTGCTGGGATTAACCGTGCGAGAGAAACATGTGCGGGCTGGGATTTGAAGGTTTCGGCGATGTGAGGAGTGAGGCGTTGTGAGATCGAGCTGAAAGCATCCAGCACCAGCTTAGGCACGACCTGCGTGGTTAGTGGTGCCACGAATGCAATCATTTTCTGGTACATGAGCCAGTCACACTCTTTGATCCACGGGGCAATGTCGGGATGTGTGAGAAGTTTTTGCACCGGGACAGTCAGGGTTCCATGAAAAGCGGAGAAATATCGTAGAAGGTTGCGTTCTTTGCAGTATCTGAAGCTGTCGATGACTGATATGCAATGAGACCGGTACAGAGCCGCAAGAGCTGCAGCGACCTTCAAGTCGGCATTTAGGGGCAGGTATGGATGGATATCAGGCAGCTGAAGGGAGTCATTGTCGACAGAGTAGGTGTCTGCAGAAGGAAATCGAAGCATTTGATGAATCATTTTTCCGGCATGGCTTTTGACGTTCTCGAGGGTCATTGAAGGTTCAAGGTTGCCGCGAGAAGCAGATTGGCAGGCACAGCCTCCAGTCGGTAAACTAGCCGACATGCGAGGAGCGAACGAACCTGCTGGTAAAGGAAATACGGCCGTATCAGCCGGGGGTGTTGGTACTGCGCCAGCACTATTGTTCTTGTCAGAATCTGATATTCAATTTTGTCACTTTGCTTGTCATGTTTTCCAATATACCTCTTTGATAGCGCATCTTCAGCCCTGTTTTCCGGTGGGACACTAGCATTTGATGGGGCCTGAGAGTCAAGGGACTGGTGTTTTTGTTGCTTCTCCTCTATCACGGTCAAGTCAACATAATGATACTTGGATTCCCCGCGAACACCCAGTCGTCGTGTTTGCACGTTCGGGAATATGATGCGCACAAGCTTCCCAAAGGAAGCTGGATTCAGAACCGAGACACGCTCGGTTCCACACTTCTCAGCGTAGCAGCAGTACACACGGTCCCGTCGAACAGAACCGCTGCTCTTTCTGCAGTTCTCCCTCAACCTGCAGATACGGCATCAGTACCGCATATGTAAACTAAGAAACAAGGCGAAATCATACCATATCATAGCAAAGACCTGTTTGACCTTCTCTGCTTTGCCTCCGGCACCCTCGTGTTTCAGAACCTCCGCTGCCATTTGCTTAAGGGAGTAGCTTTCGTACTGACGCAATAGTTTGCGCAGTTCGTTGTCGTTCGCTAATGAAGAGCTTGATCCCTTTTTCTTCTTTCCCCCACCAACCTCTGGGTTCTCATTGTCTTCTAACATATGCTCCGGCATGTGATTCTCGATCCCACTGTCGTACAGGGATTGATACTGGGACATGGGCACCCCGGACAAACCGTGCCCTGATAACTCCGGCGGCAATGCTTGCTGAGAAATAGCGTGAGTCTGGAGCGCATGGTGTGAAAAATCTTCTGCTCGGGGCATGACGGGATGGTGTGCATCTGGCAAGGTTGGATCCAACGGAGTACCATTCACGGGATGCGACAGGTTGGGACCAAAGCGCATAATCATATCTTCTGGGTTGTTGCCAAAAACATTGTGACCCGTGGCTTGTTGAGTGGGAAGAAATTGCGCGAATCCATCGGCAACATTTTGGTCCTGGGTCTGCTGGGAATGAATACTAGCTGTGGAGCCTCTGGATCTAGGACGACGACTATTCCGCGAGATCACATGTTCGGAACGAGCCCTCATGGGATCCGCAGTCCCAGGACGGCTATGCGGTGGTACTACCTGAGTGGACTGAGAGGCAGCACTCGAGGACTGTGAGGCTGCTCGACCTATTCGATGGGAACAGAACAGTTAGCGAACACACAGCCATTGGGCAGTGACGACGTGCAAAATGGGGAAAATCCAGGAGGGAACGAATGGTAACAGCTGTACTTACCCATCTCTGGAGGCAACATGAGGCTCTACGAGGCAGCTCCCGTGCAGGTGTGGCCGGTGGTTTTCGTGGTTGTTGCTGGGTGGATGGCGGTAACCACGGGCGATGGTGTTGCTTGTTTTGGCGCTGCTTCTTTCAACGCCCACCCTCGGACGGTCGGGAGATCTCACACCGCTCCTAGATGCTGGGGACAAGAGGGCAGAGATTTATATGGATATAGGCCGAAAAGAAGAAGCGTTATTTGTCGAGAAAAGCCAGCTAGAGAGGGCACATCGCTGCTGGGTGAGGTGTCGTAGTTCGGTCGAGCGAAGGAATAAACAGAAATGGCCCGTTCCTCAGACAACGAGACGTTGTTTTGCATGAAGTCACGTGAGCTGAGTCAGGCATGCCACAACAAGCGCTGGAATGGTTGATTTACTGAAAAATCTAGTATGCATAGGAATTCTGCAGGGTCAAAATAGTTCATTTTAAAAGATTTATCTATTAGAAGATTTATTCTATTCGGTTGGGAAGCATTGGCGAGAAGCATATATGGAAGAGCAAAAAAAGAAATTAAAAAAAGGTATGACAAGAGTGGGATTCGAACCCACGCCCCTTTCGAGAGTGGAATAAAGGTGCTAGTGCACTTTATCGTAGCCAGGTAATCCTGGTCAAGCTCATCGCTTGAGTCCACCGCCTTAGACCGCTCGGCCATCTTGCCAATTGATGTAAGAGTTATAAAACTAATGTTCTATCATCCCTTTTAGCCATCTTTTGCAATCCATTTCGTCATAATCTGCACGCACCAGGCGAGTACTCTGCTCATGTGTAAGAATTAACCATCAGTAAAACGAGAAATGAAAAGTACAACGAGCTCCACTCGCAGTGATCTGTGAATAATATACTAGCCGCGAATCGCTCCGTAAACCTGCAAGGGGCGCTATGTCTATTGGAAGGGCAAATTACAGGATTCTGACTATATGTAAAGGGTTGAACCCTACTAAGTACCTCGAGACTTCGAGACGTCTCTCGGATTGAAGCTATTCAGAAAGTGGGCCCATGGACGAACGAGACCACGTGATAGTCTGGCCATCTTCTCAGATGGCCGCCGCTCCGTAAACATTTCTTCTTCAACGAGTTCTTTTGTACGCTACATCTGGTTATAGGTAGCTGGGTGTCACAACCTGGCTCCTCTCGTATTGTACCTAGGGTTCTAGTTAGTTGTATTTCGAGACAGGACACTTACCCTAAGTGTCTTCCAAGCACTCATATGCTCAATGACCATCCAGGTCCTCTGTATATCACGTCGAAGGTATCTCGCCCCCTCCAGGCTCCGTAAGGTAGTCAACAGGTAGAATCAGTAAAGGTAACAAATAGAGAAACAAGGTCAACCGAGCACGTATGCTGGGTTGTTGGTTAAGTGCGGACGAGTCAGAAACTAGAAGGTAACCAATGTTTGATTAACTAGATTGATTGCGAAGAACTAAACTAGGTGTGTGAATGAGTGTCCTTATATATCCTTCGCTTGTATACCATCTACTAATGCCAAGCCATGGTATATGGTAGTTGATCACGTGATGCGCCTGTTAACTACCTGTGATCCCTGTCCTTCCTGCATTATTACCAGAGCTTATAGTCCAATGATTCTGCCTTGACTCCCCGCATAATCACGTGATATCAGTGCATTAGGGATCTGTAACACTGGGCTACGGCTCTTGACACTATATCAATTGAGCTTATCATATACATAACTCTGAAAGGCATGGGCGGACTCGGGAAATGCGATGTAATTTTTTTTTTTAAATATATATATATAACGTATTCCAGGGCGAGTTGCGCGCCCTGTATTCCCATCTAAAATGTGCTATTTTTGAATGCTTATATCCCAACAACAGCTTAATTATATGGAAGTATATATTTACCAGCATACAAAAAGGGGTAGGTTATCGAAATTCAAGACTTGCAAATATTTATCTAATTTACACATTGTATCATAAAATACTCGATTTCACGATGTGACGGTTAGCAGGCGGCTGAAAAGGGGCTATTTCGGCGGCCGTTTTAGGAGTCCTGCTAACCAATTCCCGTCTTGGCATCAGGTGAACGTATTACTACTGCCACGGGCTTTCCCTCCACGCCAGGCCACGGGTGGCATGTACTTTGAGGCTAGTTTCAAATGGGACTTTTGTTACTCTTTTGTTCAGTATCATCTATCTAGACGCTCTCGCTGCGGTCGCTGCGGAGGGAAGCTGTTTTTGGCTCCCCCCCCCTTGACCATCATGTTCTCTCCAGTTATGAGTCCCATCATGCCAACTGTGTTCTTCCCTGCTTCCTGTGACGGCTCAGCGCCTCAATGCCTCAGTGGCTGATATCGACAAACGCCGCCATGCAAACAAACAAAGAAAGCACTTAGCGCGATCACAGAACCCATAAATAAAAACCCTTTTTCTGTAGATAGATTTCCTCTTCTCTTCTTTTCTCAGATTCGAGATTTTCGTTGACGGCTACTAGTTTGGAGATCATTCGTTTTATCTACTAGCTACCGAGCCCGTGACGTCTCATGGCCCCTTGAACTCCCCACAACTAACATTCTCATGCGCCTCCTCCGTTTCGTATCCCTAAGACTGTGCAGACGACGGCGAAGGCAGTCAGAGTCAGAGCCAAGGACGTCCCTCAGCACCTATCTCCCGCCATCAATCACTATCACGCAGCCGCCGCGAAGGATCTAGCAATGTCTGGCCCTCCACCAATCTAAACTTCATGGACTCCAGTACAGGCCCGAGTTCAACTATGTCCTCCCTTCACAATCCCTTAGCCAGCATCCCAGCGCAACCCACTAACTCCTCCAACATCAATGTCTCTTTAATGTCTCCGCCTCCATCGGTGTACTACAACTACTACAATAGCGCCTCCAGCGATCTAAAAGACTTGAATAACGTTCTATCGCACTCGATACATAACAATACAAATGCAGACGCAAACACAATTACAAATGCAGGCTCACTTCTAGATTGGTTCACAACCCCACTTGATCAGTTCCTCAACAGCTCGACCACGGTCGTTGATCAGGGACTGGGCGGGACGGGGCCGATGTTGAGGGAGTATGATATGTTAAAGGGTGTTGCTTAATGAGCAGCATAATAGGAATGGGGGCATCGATTTGGGAGAGGATGAATTGGGAGGGACGTCGCATTCGATGCAGTCATGATTTATTAATCGGTGGTTGCAGGGCGTTTGGGTATGATTTCTTTCTTGTATATTTTTACTGAAGGGAAGGGCTTGTTTTTATTCATTTTCCCTGATATGGAGTGATACAGTATATGACCTTATCTGTATAACACTGCTTCAGTGAGGATACTCAGGGGCTTGCGCGGTCAGTATTTCTTATTGCATATAACTGCTCACTGAGCGCTTAAAGCCTCATGGCTCCCCGGGTTGTTCTTTACCCACCCTCTATTCTGTGCAGATAGTCCATAAACTTTTAATTTGGCAGTTTGCTTCTTTGTCCAGCTACATATGTAGGGAAAGAAAAAAAAAAAAAAAACTCAGGTTGTCGCCCACCAAATGAAATCATTAAAGTCTACTGATTCCCTCGCCTGTATTTTCTAGTATGAGTGCTCATATAATCGAGCATATCAGATTTATCCTCTTCTATATTGTCAATGGTACATGCAGGGTCGGATGGCGGCTGGTAATACTCTTTACAGGGGTTCCATGTTGCTTGTAATCTTCCTGCAAGCGTTGTAAAGCATTGTAATCCCGTTTTCCCTTGCGGGATAATTGAACCCACTTGATGAACTCGTGGAACTTTGGAGCAGCAATGACTGGGATATGGTCCAAACCTCCTGGACAGGAACGCGAGTGAACAAGCGCCGACAATTGAGCCATGTGCTGCCCCCACTCAAGCGAGTCAGGTGAAGGGTCCTGCAGGAGGATGTGCATCTCTGACTCTACCAGGCGCGGAAATGTTGGTAGCAGGCAAGTCGCAAACTCAGTGGGGCTATCCTCTCGGCCCGCGACTCCCGGCAGTGCAGATAGTGGAATATATGGCGCCTCTGATAAGCTTTGCACCAAAGGCGAGAGCAATTCAGGATATGATGCTGGGGGTGGAAGCGGCGCAAGACCAGTGAGCTCTGTGGAATAGAGAATGATGAACATGCGTGGGATGAAGACAGGTTGAGAGTTTGAATCAAGCAATTGGGCTGGTGGGACTTCGTAGATGGGCGCACCGTGGCGGAGATTGCGTCGATCGTGATATTGGTGGGTCGAAGAGCTCTGGCGCCAGTTGGCGAAGGTTGTAGGGGACGATGTGTCATGATCGTCTGCTATGGAGGGGATGAGGCCATGTGATGTGAGTATGGTAAAGGCATACTCTTGGTCATTATCGTTCACAAGAAGCTCGATGTCCTACAACCATGGATACCATTAGTCTCTGATGGAAATCAATCAAGGCAAGACAAACCAGGGGACATAGATCTCCGCCATACTCTGCCGCTGCACAAAGCCCCCAGAGCGCTGCCGATATTCCAGCTTGGAAAAGAGTGCTGGCTATGAGTGCTGCTGATTCAGTGTTTGGTTCTATGATTTCACCAAGACCATTCGGGAATGAAGGCATACTGTATGGCGGAGCAGATGTATAGGGGAGGGTTGGGAGAATAGAATACAAGTATGTAGTAGGAATTCCTGCCGCCTATCCTGACGTAATCAACTTCTGTGACTTAGTTAACGAATAACTCAACTAGTTACTTCTTTCTTCCTTCTGGGAGGTTTGCTACAGAGCGTCCATCAGCTGCTGTTTCGTTGGACTACTTGTAGGCTGTCAGCATTACTGGTGCAGATGTGTTTTTAAGCATTTAAAAACCAATGATCACGCGCTGTAGACATGCTAGCTAACATTTAATGCTACCAATAGCCAAACTTCAGGCGCCGCCTATGAACGACCTCTACAACTGCGCAATGTATCTTCACCGAGAGTTGAGTCGGCACAACGTACCCTACTATTTCCTTGGAGGATTTGCGTGTATCAATGTCGCTATGACTGCACGTACAACAGCTGACATCGATATTGCCGTCCCCAGCGGCCAGAACGGTTACGGTGTTCTTCTCGACATCCTGCAGCGCGCACCTTTTGTTCAGGATACAGAGGGTCTTATATCTCAGGATTCATACTATTTCTTTGTTGAATCGTCAGGCCGCTTTGTCGAAGTTGATGGCGTTCTGGCGGGGTTCATGGCCTTCCCAAAAATTGAACAGGCCGGAACCATCCAGCTACAGCATTTGCAACTGAATTTTCTTAATCCAGCGGGTCTGCTAAAGTTGAAGCTTAGCAGCTGGGCAAACAAGTCACGCCGTAGTGGTTTGAAAAGGGATGGTGATATCATTGACATCAATTCCATTCGAAACTTATTGATCCAGAACGGGGAGAAGATGTCTTTGAAGGGCTTGGAGGGCGATGCCGCCAATGGTCTGTGGGATTGGATACAGGAATTCGAAGATCTCAAGACATGGCAACTTCTGGACTCGTCCTACAAGGGTCGCTAAGACACGGGAATGATCGAGTTAAGGCTGGGTTGCTGACAGGAAGAATTGCAAGATAAAGCTTGGAAGGTACAGCAAGTAGCAATAGGTGCCTACTATAATCAAGCCTTTCTATGGGCCCACCAAAAAAAGAAAAGGAAAAAGGAGGGTTTGTAATATCATTTGTGAGGAAGTATACATCAACGTTGCTCAATTATCCGAATGTTCGGTCACTATTGAAATTCAAGATTGAATCAATACCCACTATAATGCAAAGGAGCACACGAGGCCTGAATGATCACTCCACTTTAGCAACGAGTTATGATCATGCTTCTGATCTTCTTCCTCTTGTCTCAATTTTGATGTGCCAGCCTGCCCAATGTCACCTGGTGCTATTATTTTGATACCGCATGGCTTCAGTCCAACCACTGCCACTTTATCAAGTCGGTTGGGCGGGAATGGCTGATCGCCATCAGCCCCCCAAGTAAATCCGGCTTCGCTTGGATATAGCTCATTCCACACGTCCAGTAGGCCATTCGCACTAACAAGTATATCATCATCAGGAAGGACAGGATTGAAATCGCCAGCCACCAGACCATGACCGGTAGCACGGAGGTAAGAAGTGATAATGGAGAGCTGGCGAGGGCGGAGAGAAGGATTGATTGGCAGAGAGTCCAAATGAACATTGGCCAGACGAACGCGGAGGGGATTTTTTGCTGGTCCATGGGAAGGTAAGAGGATGTCACAACAAAGTGCATCCCTTTCAAAGCGGCTGGGATATTTGACTCGCCAGATTGGGCCAAGAGCGGCGTTTTGTGGATCAGTCAACCGTGATCTTGACACAAGTGTTATGCTTGTAAAGGACTGTTTTCCCCAATTGGTTGTGTCTGCTTCACTCGAGTACCAGTGTCCACGAAGCCAAGGCATTTCTAATAGAGCCAGCAAAGCAGATCGTGATACTTCTTGGAGGAAAATGATGTCAGCTGGAGTAACTAAGCTCTGAATGTGCGAGATGAGGGCAGATATCCGAGCCTCGGGGGCGGGCGAGGTGGCATCAACATTCCATGTAACCAGGACGAACTTCCCACCATTACTGGGATTATATCCTGTGCCAGTTAGTCCAGAGGTGGAATTAAAAGCAACCCACTTGTTGACTGATGAATCGAATCTATACCATGGTTGGAAGATTGGAGACGCATCAGCCATGCATGCTGGCAAAGGAACGTCATACCACCATCGGAGAGTTCGGTTTCGCAGTCGAGAAAACATGCTCATATTTTTTTTTTTCTTAAATGTCTTGCAATCTGTTTGAAATCAGAGACGCGAGGAATCCCTCGATACTGGCAAGGATTTTAGGGGAGAGCGCGATGATAAGGACGACCTCCTTCGGATTCGGATTCGGATTTACTCATACCCGTCCCAGCCAATCTTAATTGAAACGGGGAAGCTTCGGGGCAGCGGTGCCGATTGTTCGGATAGCCGTACGAGGTCTATACGGTAGTCGATAGGATAGCGATAGTATCGCGCAGTATAGGATGTACGTAGTATTGAAGTTGTCACAGAGTGCTTGCTAAAACTAAGAGCTTCATCGCCGCACGATAAAACCTCGCTCACTAGATCGGCCCGATATTCATCCGAACTTCATCTTTTGAAGCGAGCGGGTAGCTCAGGATCGGGGAATCGGGGAGTCGATCACATTCGTCCACGTCTAACTCTCACATGACTAAGAGCCTCTGCTGCTACTGTGGAGAACAATCCTGGTAGGCTAACATGATCCTTATTTCCATTTTCCCATGGGCCCTGCTCTCCACTGCCATCCCTATTCGTCATCAGTGTCTGTCCTCAGCCAGCGGTCCCCATCCAAGCTGATGCAACCCTCCTAGGGCTATGATAAAGTAGCGAGTAACTGTTAATAATTGGGAAGCAGAAAGAGAAACGGGGAAAGATTCTGTTTCAGTCCTAAATGCCTTCTGGCAGCTATTTTTGGGGAGAAGAATTTGAGAAAGTTCTGCAACAAAAACTGCCCGCCACCATCAGGTGAAAGCTGTTGACATTTCCCTTGTCGCTTTATTAAATGATTGCACCTAGCTCATCTGACTAAACAATTTGATGATATCCAGATCATTTGTACCGCCATCGAGAAGTAGCTGCGGACGTGAACAGGATCGATCTCGCTGATATTTCGTTACAGATGAACAAGGGAGATAATTGACTTGTGTCATCAATATGTGTCTCACTTCAATACCCACCTCGATTTCTAACGTGTCCTAATACTAAAGATTCATTTGACCATTTTCAAGTATAATAGTGCGGACATGCGTCTTTTGAATTTGACATGATAAAAATCTCATCACGCAACAAGTTTTGCAATGAGATCGGACCCCATTTCCCCGTACTCATCCAAAAGGCGCCGAAAGCGAGTGTTTTCCATTAATGTTCAAGCCTCACATGATGCATAGTGAGTGACCAAGTCTCTGAGAGAAAGACATCAATCCGGCTCTTCTCTGCCTGTATGCTCGAAGGTATACTGTAGCAGATCAAGGATGTGAGATACACTTCGTGAGTTGAGTTGAGATACTGCAAAAATCACGATGAAGTGACTTCAAGCATTGAACTCTCAGTGAGTCAACAAGGTACCGTGTCGCAAACACGTATGTCTTTACATGAGCAAGAAGATCCGGGTCAGAAGAAATAGAGGCTTCATTTCCAGCAAATCGATGAGATCTGAACTGACTCCTTCAACGGTCATAGGGCATTCAATGTAGATTGACTTAGCGTACTCGATCTCTGGCGGAGGATTACAGTGCTTCTTTAATCGTTTTTTTTTTTTTTTTTTTTTTTTTTTTTTTTTTTTTTTTTTTTTCCTTTTGCTAACAGAATCTTCCCCGTTGGTAGGTAGATACACTGGCACTGGATTGCTCTCTTTTGTTTGCATCTGGCCTGACCTACGAATTAGAATCTTGTTCTGGGTCTGATGACGCTGGCATTTGGGTCTAGTGCTCACCATCTGCACTCAAAATCTCCTCGCAATCATTGTCTTTACGGCAAGGCGTAGTATACTTTTTCCGATAGCCAAACTCAAAAAATAAGATGAAGATATCCTCCTCCGAATCATCTATGATAGCAGTTCGGGACAACGACTCTTTCTTTGTTTCTCTCTCCCCTGTCACAGCCAAACTTGGAGCCTGATTCATTCATTAGTTCGAATTTTGAATTTAGAATATTACTGTTTGAACGTGCCTGGACAGATATGGAGTGTCTCGGTATTCCTGTTGATCATCGACTGCGACGACTAATTCGGAAAGCTCAGCCCATCAATACGAATGAGGACTCTGAGCACATTCGGATACTCCAGAGATTTGGAAAATCCCTTAAAAATGGGCAGAGCGATTATCTTTCTACATATGACCTTAGCTTCGGGCTCGAATTGGCGCGGCCGGAATCAAAGGCCGGTGTGGTGGTTGTCTTGTTACAACCACATTCAACACAGGATAATTCAGACGGTTTCTTAGCAGGAAGACACACATGCGCAACTATCAATGCAGTATCTGACTTGATTTCTGCTGCGACTAATTCCAAGTTAGGCCTAGATGACATCAGCGTTTTTGATGAATACCATTTCTACATGAGGGGGTTACAGGTCCAGAATACGACGACCTTATTGCACAGAGTGTGTTCGCCCAAATGATTAGAGCGAAACAGCCAAATGTTGTCATACCATGCTTCAAATCAGAGACCAGCAACGCACTTGTTCAAAACCTACGTTGTCGTCGGCTAGGATCCAGCTTTGACGATGATCCGCGGGGGTCAAAGCAGCTAGCTGAATCAGGTTTATCGCTCATTCGCGTTAATGCGTTCCACCAAGCTACGCAATCAATTATAATCCAGAATTCAGTTGTTTTAAGCGGTTACTTGTCTTGGAATTTACAAAGGCATTTGCCCTTTGGCGAAATGATTGGAACGACTTGGGCTGGATGAGTCTCTTAAGATATGAATGCACTAAGCAGGCAAGGGAAATCTCGAAAGGTATGTCAGTCAATATTTGAACGAGTTATCCTGAAATGGGTTTATCTTAGCCGAGGTCGAGAACTGTTGTGATCAATTTTTGAAAAGGCGATGGGCAACTCTCCTGGGGAATCTTGAAACAGGTTTCGAGAAATGTTTCTTTTCTGAGTCTGGTTTCAGCTTGGTTGAGGATACCCGGTACCGGCTTGTTGATTCCAACATCACTTGGATCTGTTGCGATATCGCATTGGTCTTGGAGCATTTTTACCCTGATGGTTTTGACCAACATATGTCGGAGAAGCTACTCCATCATTTCAGAAGCTGGTGTTACAAAGTACGGCCTGAAACAAATCTTCAACACAGTTCAAGTGGTTCCAATGGCTACTATGATCATTCAGAGCTCTTGCTCTTGAGATCACAGCACCAAACAGCACGCGCAAACAAACTTGAGAACAAATTCTACACCCTCCTGCGTGATTTGAACCTGTCTTACAGCTCGCCACAGATTCTATTCAATATCAACGGAACTGCCCAAACACATGCTTTTCTGAGATTCGCTGCGGCTTTCGAAAACATTCTGGAAGAAGCCCTAGAGGAAACTCCAAAAAAAGGGCATGGCCTCTCGGAAGAAATGGCTTCTATGAGCTTAAACCAGTGAACGATCTTTCGTTGGTACAGAAGTGGGCTCATCAGTAGTCAGCATGTTAATGGACACAGTTTGTATGAAAGTCATAATGCTCAGGGTGACTATCTTTTTGTGCGATAGATATTTTCACACACCAGCCTGTCAAGCCTGTTGCTTAAATTGCAGTACACTTGTAATGACTTGAGTAAGACATCTAGATTGGTGTGAGTATTAATAGGCCAATTGACAGTTTTTGGCTGGTCGGTGGAGATATCCATGTATCAGTCATTACTCCCGTTAACCATTTGTTAGTTGACAGCTAATTGACTAATTAATCTCATGAGATTTGTGAGTTATACTATTCAATCAAGGCCAATGCACCGTTGTCTACATGATGCTGGGAGGACTGACTAAAGTTAATTATATGTAGGCTTTTACGTCATAACAGTCCTCAAGTTGATTTTGCTTGGTCGGTTCTGTCTGAAATCGTCCTCATGGCATGTCAGTATATTCCAGTATTTTCAAAGGTAATCTGCCATCTCATTTACTGTCAAATTGTTATTGTCACGGTCCCCTTCAATAGGAATCTTGCTAGCGGCTGTCTGCGCGGATATGAACAGGAACTCGGGCACATTTGAGAAGAGGCGGCTGGGCAACGCCAGGGTCGGTCTACTCTAGCAACCCAGAATCACATGCATTGAATCACCACAGACAATAAATACTGCCGGAAAGGACTGGGTTTCTATCTCGCTCAGGTATATGGCAAATGAGCTGGATTCACCTCTGAAGCAGGACTCACGCATGATGATGACCGACCGACACACAACTCGCTGATGTGGCCAGAAGTATAATATGCGACATGATCGCGACTAACACCAGGCTCATGTATGTGTTGCTGTCCCCAGTGGTGGCCACAGGGGCGTGTCTGGATCTGAGCAGAACTGTGGGAACGAATGAGAGGACCTAAGGACCTGGCCCAGTTGCATTACAGTGTGGGGTGCATGCATCGGATAGCTGGTTTATAAATGCGTGGCAGCTAGCTCAGTTGCATGAAAGGGAGAGAATTCAGTGCCAATCGAATCATCAGTGGATAAGAGGATATGATGGCTTGTTATAACTCATCCTCTTAGTTTGTAAACGGTCAGAATGCCAATATCGTATGCCTATTCCCGCCAAGCGTTAATCTGCTTTCTTGTTGAGGGTCATACTCCGGTGTACCTGTATCGCGCCTAAAGTCCTCCCTGGATAGCGCTCCGAGAATAACCTTGCAACCTCTGACCAAGGCCGACTCTCTTCCTTTCTCAACTTCAGCAGAAGGCTCGTTTCTTCCATGGACCATGGCATATTCTTTCTGGAGCCTCCTCGGGCCTTTCTACGATCACGCCTATTTTGTTCAATCTCATGCGAGGTACTTGAGCAACTTGTTGCTAGCGCATCTCTCTCTTCACATGCTGTCAGTGGAGAGTTAGACATACAATGTGGTAGAGCACCTTCGAATTGCCAAGAAAGGAATTGCAAACGATCGTCGAGTGGGGCAGACATGAAGTGAGAACAAAGCGTGAAGGAATCCTCCTTGGGCGGCAACATTGATGGAACTCGAAGCCGTTTGTGAGCTCGCCCGTCTGATTGTTGCGTCTTCCACTTGGAACTTTTTGATTGCCAACCGACATGATGGTCACCACGGACACCACCAGGGTAGGAAGCATCAGGATCAGTGTTACGTTGGGAGGGGTGCAGTTGTTGATGATCATGGATGTGAGAGTGGTCACTTGTTTGAGTATCGCCATTCTGGCCACCAGCCTTTTCGCAGGAACCTCTATGATAGTTAGGTGGGCTGTGAAGAACGGGTGGAGGGTCAGGATATGAACAAGTCGTCTCTGAATTGATGAAGCTGTCGGCTTCTGGGACAGATTGCTGGAGGCTGCTATCCTCCCAAGGCCAGTGGTTGCCAAGGATTGCCGGGTCGATGGGAATGTCATCCTGTGCATTCGGAAGCCTGAAAAACTCTTCTGGACTGTCATCTGAGCTAGATATACTGGGAGATGATAGAGCATTCTCTGCCGAATCTCCCCGGAAGGCGGGCGGCTCGATTGGGATATCAGTGTCATCTTGAACATCGCAGCAGGATATTGGATCTGGATCTGAGAAGTGAGGCGCTGAATCATGGGGAGATGTTGTGCTGTGCTCAGGAGTCTCCAGATATGTATTCTGTTCTGGTACAGATATTTCCAGTGGTTGAGACTGAGAGCTTGATGATGTACACAGCTGAGTGTTTGCACTGATATGCACGCAAACTTCGGCTGGTGGCCGTGCAGGGAGATTATGCTTAGGAAGTGGCAAAGTGCTTGGAAGGGAATCATGATAAGGCTTGGGGCGAGAGGATTTTTGGGTTCTTGGGGTGCATGGATTGGGTGATTTGTATGGTGAAAATGGCTTTCTGTAAGAGCGAGCCCACGGCTTGAAGTTGTTCATATGAAAGGTAGGGGGCATATTTTAGGAAATGGGGATGTTTAGGGGTATATTATGACAGACAGGTGATTGAAAAGAGGGAAGAGGAGGGGAGTGGAAGCTGAAGGGAAGAGTGCGGGTTGTGGGAGAATTGAGTTGAGATGTTGCAATCTCTGCAACCTCAATTGTCCTCTTTATACTTGCCCTCGGTCTGCCAAGTCCACCATTCCACCTTTCTCATCAGCAGAAACAACAAGGCGAATTTCTCTCGTCCTGAAAATCACATCTGCTGACGTGTCTATTTTCATCTACTAGTGACGCCTGGAGGCAGAGATCCGGTGCCCTGCGCCAATCGCATCTGGGTGTTGCATCTCCAAGCCTCGCATGTCAAACACGCTGAAATAAAAAGGATGCGGTTATTTCGCTATTGGCTGGTAAATATGGCGACGATACGTAAATGAATTGATCCTGGTGGGGTCGAAAGATGGCTGTGGAGGGGGAGAGGCGCCATCCAGTTCACAGCCAGACCTGGGTGCCGGATAACCAGGAAGATCCCTTTCCCATGTAGAAACTCGGGAGCTTGGCCGAAGAATAAATCATGATATTTTGAGATAAAAGATCATAGCAAGGCAGCTGAGCATCCAGGAGTCCTCAAGGGAAGCCCAAATAGGATGGTATGGCCGGAAGCAACAGCCAAAATCTCAAAAGTCGCTGATCAGCTGGCGGACCACGCATGAAGGGGCCCATAAATGCAATCATAATCAGCAGCACAGCATCAGGGGGTGATGTGGATAGGTCGATTTCCAATGAAGCGACAGTAACAAGGTCTCAATGTCTCAATTGTTCAGATGACCATCGGCCGCTCCGGCGCCATACTGGAAAAGGGTAATCGTCGGATAACGCGGCATCTTGGTAAGAGGGCAGTGCACCGGGCGAGGCATACAGGAGAGGGAAAAAGAGAAGAGAAAGTGCGTGGTTACTTGAGGGGGAGATGTCGGGCTTTTATAGATGCAATGGATGTGTTCAGGCGGCATGTGAGCAGCCTAAAAGCAGCGTGAGGCGATGCTATCCCTGATACAGTAGACGCCATACCGCAAAGGGCAATGGTATTCCCGCCGACGGCAGGCGGTTGGGCTCGGCAGAAGCGTAGTTCAATAGGAGCCGTTTCTGGCGCCCCACTAACCGTCACAACTTATACAGCATAATCAATATTAACTTGATGATTAGGTTATAAAACTCTGCAGAATCCAGTATATATAATATCTAGTCAATGATCATCTTTATCAAAAACAAACCAATAGAGCGAAATAAAACAAAAAAGCAAACAAAAGAAATGACAAGAGTGGGATTCGAACCCACGCCCCCTGTCGGAGATCAGGAAACTTCAAAGAAGTTATCTGTTAAGGTAACCTTAACCTGACGCCTTGGACCGCTCGGCCATCTTGCCTGTTGTTGGAAAAAGCTTTCTATTCATGCTTTATTAACCATAATGTTTAAAATGCAAATTCGTCATTGTTTGCACACTTTCATCTGTCTAACAACTGTATACTAGCTACATGTTAAAATATACTTTTTTTTCTTTAGAAAGAAATTAGGCTAGCTGCTTAACTTGTTTTCATTGACAAGAGACCTCTGGTTCCTCCTTTCTTTGAATCAGTTATCTCTCAGTATAAAATGGATTAGCCCTTCCGCCCAAATATATAGCTCGGTTGTACCACCCTGTAGATACATTGTAGTCAGCATCGCTTTCATTGGCTCAATTCTTACCAGTCATGCAACACAACTTCATCATTCCCGTGTATGTGAGTCCCTATACACACCATTTTCCCTAGACCCTCTACTGTCATCCATACATCAGACGCCACACAAAGTTTTCGGCATCCTTAACCGAGTTGTCGGTGGAGCGATGTCCGACTCGGAACATACCGATAAAGATTCGGAGCACTCCGGACCGTCGATGATACTCTTAGTTGAACCTACGTCCATACGGCACCGCACAAATTCTTCATTCAGACAATCGTAGTTCATGATACACAATTTCTACAAAGAAAAAGTATAGCCTTAGACACTCTAAACATAAGGAAAACGAAATAGAGAAGTACAGATATGACCAAGTGGGAAAAAGAAAAGTAAACAAATGAGTCCGTCTGGTTGATGGGTATATATCCCGGCTCTTCCGTACGCACAATCACGCATCACTACCGATTTCGGGACGCGCCTCTCACAATTGGAGAATCCTTATCCACTCCAACGAACCTAAACAAGGTCACGCTTGACAAACTCAGCAAGCAGAGTCTTGCCCAAAGCAGCGGGACTTCTCTCCACGACAACACCGGCATCCTGCAGAGCGGAAATCTTCGAGTCGGCACCACCCTTACCACCGCTGACGATGGCACCAGCGTGACCCATACGGCGGCCCGGGGGAGCGCTAATACCAGCGATGAAGCTGACAGCAGGTTTGTTGTACTTGTTGTTGGCCTTGAAGAACTCGGCGGCGTCCTCCTCGGCACTACCACCAATCTCACCAATCATGATGATACCCTCAGTCTCGGGGTCCTCAAGGAAAATACGAAGGCAATCAATGAAGTTGGTACCGGAGAAGGGGTCACCACCGATACCAACGACGAGGGACTGACCAAGACCAGCCTGGGTGGTCTGGTTCACAGCCTCGTAGGTTAGGGTACCGGAACGAGAGACGATACCAACGCGACCACGCTTGTGGATGAAACCAGGCATAATACCGATCTTGCATTGACCCTACAACCCATTCACATCAATGTCTATTCGGACCCAGGCGCAGCGTAGAGACAGGTCAAACTTACGGGAGCAATGATACCGGGGCAGTTAGGACCGACCAGACGAGTCTTGTTCTGGGTCTTCAAGATGTCTGTAATGCGCACCATGTCTGCAGGATTCTAGTTAGATATGCGAAAACGAAAAAGTAACCGAAAGCCATACCGTGCTGAGGAATACCCTCAGTGATACTATGAAAAGCGAAAAGTTAGCCAAAGTAGCTTGCAAAAGCCTTATATGTACTATATCTTACCAGACAGCCAGAGGAATCTCAGCCGCAATGGCTTCCTCGATACCCTTAGCGGCGAGCGGGGGGCTGGTGGGGATTAGCCTTGCGATACAACAACCCATTCCAAGCATGCATATAGGAATCATACGGGACGAAGATAGCAGAAGCAGTGGCGCCAGTTTCCTTCACGGCATCGCTGACGCTGGCGAACACAGGCCGGTCCAAGTGCGTCGAGCCGGCCTTCTTGGGGTTGGTACCACCAACAACCTTGGTACCTGATTATTATTGTGAGTATTTCAGCTTCTTTCAAAGGCGCATATCGCCTGCGTGTCGCCATATTGGAAAGAGAGTTTTACCATAGGCAATGGCTTGCTCAGCATGGAAACTGCATAAGGAAGAGCAACGTCAGCCTCATTGCTCATTTTGATAACACTGAACCGCACACACCCCACGGCGCTATCACCATCTTGACGGATACAACACTTACGTTCCTTGCTTTCCGGTGAAACCCTGGTAGATCACCTTAGTATCGCCGTTGATGCGAAGGTTAGGGACAGTTTCAGAGTAGATTGCGCTGGCACTGGCATATCCCCGGCGCTGCACAGCAGCAACATTCTGGAGGGCCGAAAGGGTGCCACGGCGGAAGGCTTGCATGATGCTGTAAAAAAAATAAGAGAAAAATCGAAGAAAAAGAAGAAACGAAAGAGAGGAGAGGATCAAGTTCTGACAGGGTTTGTTTATAGCAAAAAGAGAGGGAAAGAGAGAGAGTAGATTGTTTTAATGACAGCAGAAGAAACGCGGTTTGGGAGAATTCGGGACAAAGCTTTAAGCGGATCCGATTTGTTCTCGGTTGGCAGCCTCGGGGCTTTTCCTTTGAATTTTTCCCTCACTTAGGAGAGAAAGAGAGGACTATCGCCAACGCAGGCCAACTTCTATTATCGGGACCCCATATTACGATCTCGATTTATTAAACATATCTAAATCATTTCTTTACGGTCGCATCGCAGTTGCGATCGCGACACCACAACGATGGCGACTATGACTATGACCGTGCCGCCCCCCTCCAACAAACCCAAGAAGACCGCAAAGCTGCCTCCGGAGAATGAACGATATATGCGAGCGTGCTCTGATATCGCCAATGTACTTATCCAGGACTATGAGAGCCAGATCGACCCTACCAAGATCAAGAAGGATATCAACTTGAACAGGCTGCGGGGTCAGATTTCGAGGAAGCATTGCTTGAGCAGCCAACCGCCACTGACAGCCATTATTGCTGCGGTGCCTGAACACTACAAGAAATACATTCTTCCCAAGTTGATTGCGAAGCCGATTCGTATGTTTGGCTGTGATTTGAAATGATATTGTATGCTGACCAGGACAGGAACTTCATCTGGTATTGCCGTTGTCGCCGTTATGTGTAAACCCCACCGTTGCCCTCACATTGCCTATACGGGAAATATCTGTGTCTACTGTCCTGGCGGTCCTGATTCCGACTTTGAATATTCGACCCAGTCCTACACCGGATACGAGCCCACGTCGATGCGCGCTATTCGAGCCCGCTATGATCCGTTTGAGCAGGCGAGAGGTCGGGTGGATCAGATCAAGTCCCTTGGTCACAGCGTCGACAAGGTTGAATATATCATCATGGGGGGAACATTCATGTCGCTGGCGGAAGATTATCGGGAGTCTTTCATTTCGCAGCTTCACAACGCGCTGAGCGGATACCAGACCGATAATGTCGACGAGGCCGTACAAGCGGCCGAAATGAGCAACGTGAAATGCGTGGGAATCACCATCGAGACTCGACCCGACTACTGCCTGGACACGCATTTGAGCAGCATGCTCCGCTACGGATGCACGCGACTGGAGATTGGAGTCCAGAGTTTGTATGAGGACGTTGCGCGAGACACCAACCGAGGCCACACGGTTGCCGCTGTGGCCGAAACATTCAAACTCTCCAAGGATGCAGGATTCAAGGTGGTCAGCCACATGATGCCTGATCTCCCCAATGTTGGCATGGAGCGGGACCTGTACCAGTTCCACGAGTACTTTGAGAACCCAGCTTTCCGTACGGACGGTCTGAAGATTTATCCCACCCTGGTCATCCGTGGTACAGGTCTATACGAGCTCTGGAGGACGGGTCGCTACAAGAACTACACCCCAAACGCACTAGTCGACCTAGTCGCCCGAATCCTCGCCTTGGTGCCTCCATGGACCCGCATCTACCGTGTGCAGCGCGATATCCCCATGCCCCTGGTCACCTCCGGCGTGGAGAACGGCAATTTGCGCGAACTCGCGCTTGCCCGCATGAAAGACTTTGGTACCTCCTGCCGCGACGTCCGTACCCGCGAGGTTGGCATCAACGAAGTCAAGAACAAGATCCGTCCGTCGCAGGTCGAGCTCGTCCGCCGTGACTACACTGCCAACGGCGGCTGGGAGACCTTCCTCGCCTACGAAGACCCTAAGCAGGATATCCTGATCGGACTTCTCCGGCTCCGCAAGTGCAGCGCCACGCATACCTTCCGTCCCGAGTTTACGAGTCAACAGACTAGTATCGTGCGAGAGCTGCACGTCTACGGTACTGCTGTCCCTGTGCACGGCCGTGACTCGCGCAAGTTCCAGCACCGCGGATTTGGTACCCTTCTGATGGAGGAGGCGGAGCGTATTGCCCGCGAGGAACACGGAAGTCGCAAGATCAGCGTTATCTCTGGTGTTGGTGTGCGTAACTACTATGCTCGTCTTGGATACACGCTTGATGGTCCTTACATGTCAAAAATATTGGACCCTGTCGAGGATGAGTAATCTTCTTTTCCTTATGACTATATTTGACGATAAAAGTTTATTTATTCGTTTCTTTTTGGCGTTGGGATAACCCTTAACTTGGGAGGCATTTCTGCATCTATGGCGTTCGCAGCGTTGTCATGAACAAAACTTGTATGAGTTTGATGAAACAATTTCGAAGATAAAAAGTCAAATGATAAATATCTATATTCTTAATGGAAAAGCAAAGGCGACACAATAAAGCATATACCTTATTGTATATGTACAGACACGACAATGTCTTAATCTAAGTAAAAGAAACACCGGAATCAACACCATATATCAAGATAAACCACAGAAACCCAGCATTTCTCCATTACCATGCAACGTATCTCAGCCGTTGAAAGTTGTCTTGTAAATAAGGGCAGACTGGCGATTTCCGCAACCAGCGCAGTTTATGAGACCGAGCGCATCTTCCAAACTGAGCCGAGATCTCCACGCATAGCAATAAACCAAACAGACAAAAAAAAAAAAAAAACAGAGGCTTATATCAAAAATTGTAGATTCAAAATCAATTGGCAAGCTTTAGCTCAGCGATATGGCGCCACCTCTGCTAGCTCGGATATGGAGGTAGGCCTGGAAAGCACAGAAGACGAAGAAAGCCTGTTCCGAGAGACACAATAGTTAGCTACTAATACCCCCATATACAAGTGTATTCGACAAATAGGTAGACATACGGCGTATACAATCACAGCGGTAAAAATGGAGGCAGCAACGGCAGCGCCATTCTCCGGGTCGCTATCAGAGCCAGTGTAACCGGGGTGGTCGTGCTGGACAGAGAGGATTATCCATTAGTTTCTATAGATATGGAATGACAGGATCGCATGCCACAGCCAGAAGGAGGGATAGGTAGACAGAGGACCCGAACGAACCTGGTATAACGTTCCGAGGACGGAGAGGATGATGACGGCAAAGAACGAGATGACAACGCTGTATCACGAGAAAACACAAGTCAGTGACCATAGTCATAGAGACCTTACGATATATTAATATATCCTACCATGACCATGCGTTCAAAGCAGATACGATGGGCTTCATCTTGAGGTTTGGCAAATGTTCGATGCGATAAGTCGACGGAGTTCAGGAACCAATCGGATCCGACGTATTGATGCGGATGATGTTGTATGAGGCTTCGCGAGACCTGGAGGATGTTTTTCGTTTCCTTGATCCCAGTATAGCAGGAAATGTGCACGGGTTTGACGGTTTGAAGGTGCGATCGATGTTCTTGGGAGGTGAGTCTCGGAATGTTCGATGGCGGCGAAGCGCCTAACCGTTCTGGGCGGTGACAAGAGGTATTGATATCATGCACGACGAATGCAACTTTTTATGCAGTAGCAAACACCTATTTTGCATATTTTCACCGTGTTTTATATTTGATTCTATAAATTTTTTTTTTATGTTTGGACTTTTATTCGATTGCCTCATGTCAGTCAGACATCAGTACATACATCTCCTCAGTGCGTCTTGTTCCATTCTATACACTCATCAAAGGTAACACCAGACCCCCCAAAAATATCCAAAGCACTACCAATGGTTAAGTCGACCTTTCCTTGGCTGCTGGCATGAACTTTTTCAAGGTCCTGGAGATGCCGCGCACCTCCTGCGTATGTCACAGGGATTGTACACCATTGAGCCAATTTAGCAACCAGATCTTCGTCAACACCTTGTTGTAAGCCTTCCACGTCTGCCGCGTGGATAAGGAATTCGGAGCAGTACGGTTCCAGGAATGAAATGGATTCTTCTCTGACATTAGCGTATCATACCACTTGGATGTAAGGGATTCAATGAATCAGAGTAGGCATACCCTGGTTAATTTCCATCTCTGTAATTGTCTGCCAGCGGTCCATGGCCACAAACCAAGTATCATCCTTTCTGCGGCAGCTCAGATCCAAGACCAGCTTTGACCTGTCGCCTCCAAGAGCAGCAAGAATACGTTCTAGCCGCTCTTGAGAGAACTTGCCTCCCGGGAACAGAAACGATGTGATAATGACCTGTTCAGCACAATTAGCATACAGTCTCAGCCAAACGAGTTCTAATACACCCACCTTCTCAGCACCTTGGTCAATCCAATACCGCGCATTCTCATCCGTGATACCCCCAGCAACCTGCAATCCTCCAGACCATGTCCCCAGTGCCTCCTTAGCTGCACCGTCATTCCCCGGACCAAGCTTCACAACGTGCCCTCCACGTAGATCATGCTTCTGGTACAAGCCTGCATAGTGGCCGGCGGGGAGCTTGGATACATAGTTGGTCTTGAGGTCCGAGGAAACATCACTCAGTGTTCCTCCCACAATCTGCTTGACCTGACCGGAGTGAAGGTCAATACAAGGCCTGAATTTAGTCATTCTGTCTTATTGTTCGTCAATGAGTGTCTTGCACCGCGAATCGAGGGGTCGGACCAGAAGACTTATCTTATCGCACGTGACTATAAGCGGTGTCCGAAGAAAAAACCTCCGTCGGTTTTGATGAGTTTCGCGATCAAAAAAAAGAAACATACGCCACAATTAAGAATGATCGGAAAACGGAAGAGAGACACGTCCGTCGTGTCGCGATCTACGACTAAAGAAGAGCAAGAGCAAGATACATCAGTTCCTACGACGCCTACCGAGGTCTCCCATGACCTGTTTCGCAAATTCTTTGAATCGCAGTTCGAGCCGTTAGATATTGGACCTAAAATACCACGGAAGGGAGAATCGGAGAAGGAAGAGGAAGGTGATGACAACGAGGAGGAGGAATTAGAAGCCGAATCTGAATGGGATGGTCTTTCAGGAGAGGATGAGGTGGAAGTGATTGAACACCAGGATTCGTCTATCAAAAAGAGCGATCTACTGGACAAGAAAGCCCGGAAGGCTTTTATGGTATGTTTATATACTATGGATATGGAGGGGCTGAATGCTAAATGTGTACAGAACGCGAAGCCACCATCGTTCGACGTCGACACAACTAAAACAGGGACTAAACCTACCAAGGACTCTGGCGAAGACGAAGAGGACAAAGCCACAGACGCAACAAACCTGAAGAATGATCTTGCCCTACAGCGACTGCTTAAGGAATCTCACCTGCTAGACTCCGCATCCGAGCTGGCGCCTACCGGCAAGAACCGACACAAAGCTCTTGATATGAGAATGCAATCGCTTGGAGCCAATGCGTCACTCTATGACCAGAAGATGCCGTCGGCACACCGAAGGGGAATTAAGACCAAGGCTGCGACCAAGGAGGACAAGCGGCGACGAGAAGCGAAAGAGAACGGAATCATTCTCGAGAAGCCTGCTTCTAAGAAACAAACCAGCAATAAACGGAGGGAGCGTGGTGTTGGCGGGCCATCTGTTGGAAAATTCACCGGAGGAACCCTGAACTTGAGCCAACGAGACATCAATTCTATTACCCGACGGTCCAAGGGATCCAAGGGCCGCCGTTGAGACGGATGTTGGAAGGCATGATACTCATTGAATAACCACCTAGCCCAGCACCTGCCAGCCCCGGTACCAGCGGAATACAGCAACGAGTACAATGACTTCAGTGTTGACTAGGCGGAAATTGTTGCATATACCTTGTATAATTACCTCATACTACTATCAGGTGGAAGGTCTGCACCTTTCCCTCCACCAGGCACACTGGTTCACCACAGACCATGACGAAGGAACGAAAACGAATGTAAACAACGCTACCAACATCAAAACACAAACATTGATGTAACTCTACAAAAAGGGAGCAAGTACTTTGGTCACTCTCATCACCCTGATAGCGGCACCGGATTCGATCCGTGCCATTCCAAATCCAAGAGAGTATATCCCTCATTCTGAGACTTTAGAACAACCCCTGATCGTTCAGACTTGCATTCAGGCGAAGTTAATTAATTCCCCAGTTTCAGATACTCTCCGGGCTTGGGGGATTCTGAGTGCATTTTTGGTTGTTTTCTCGAAGCTCGGGCCTTTATACACGAGAGGGTTTGGAAGGATTGCGCTGTTCCAGATAGGGCAAAATCTCCGACTGACTTTGGCAACTTTTTGTCCTGTGACAACATTTTTCGTTTTTTCTATTGATTAAGGTTTGGCGGTTTGCCTTTACCGAACTGTCTGCTTGTTTGCGTTGTTCATATATTCAAACACAGAAAGTAGTATGCGCGGACTACCCTGTGTTTACTCCTACAGACAAGTTCTCAAACTTGACACCTCAACTGTCAGCGGCTGCACGGAAACCGAGTCATAATCACTGCTCGCAGACCGGTATGAGGCACCATTGTACCAATTGACTCGTCTGTGCTCGTAAGAATTCCCAATATTAGTCCCGGGTCAACTTCGGGCTCAAACATGGCATGCGTCGAACTCGCCTCAACCAAAATTGCATACACGGATGTTGGCTTTTACGTTCAATAAATTACTTCTGGATTAGTGGATCCATTGAGAGCCTCCGATTGCACATCCAGTTCCTCAGCTTCAGCCTTCTCTTATTATTAGCAGTGGACATGCCCCATACTCCTGCACCATGGCGTGCATAATATTCCGGAGCCTTCAGTAGTAGTAGTCTATCGGCATTATTAGAAGATGCTACGTTTCAGATCCTCCCAAAACCGCATCATAATGGCCAGGTCTTAGCTTTCGTATCCGAAACCGCCCCATAGCGCAGAACAGGGAACCCTCCACATCCACATCCATGCCCGTGACTACACCATGACCATGACCAAGTATCAATGCATGCGTCCGTCCGTCCGCCATCCGCCTCCCGCCCTCCGCCCGTCTCACTGATCAATTCGTGATCCGCCGTGGCCAAAACGAGTCAAGCAGCGGGACCACAGCCCAGGCTGGATCTATACAGAAAGCTCTGCACAGACAAGCACAGGCAGCCAACTTACTCAGAGCACAGCGGGAAAAGTGGTGAAGTGTGTATCAATATTCCGCACGCACCATTCACTGTATCCAGTGTATCCAACTGAGCTTTGTTCAGGTCAGCCGGTGCTGTCCGGCCCGGTGTATGTTTCTGGGGATTGGTGGACAATGCATATGTCGTTTACTTGTATGGAGATGGATATGAGTATGTAAGTATACCGGGAGTGCATATGCATGCTGTATATCAGAGTACGGGCATGACTCGTGAGGGCTTGACTTTATCTGTCGAGTATGAGTGTAGTGCTTGATTTCTTGCGCAAATTGTACAGACCGGTATAATGCATAATCCAACAAATTATTGAGTTCTTAAGATTTTCCGATCTCAATCTTGAGATTAGTTGGTCAAGTTTGATTGTACTTTAGGTAGGGAAATTATCATTAAACTGCCATTATAGAGGTCAGAATGTTTTGTCCAACGGAGAAACCTATGTCCAAAGTATTCGGGAATCCCGGAGCTTCCGGACTAGTGCATGATGCTCCATAATCTGTTACTACTTTAAGTGAGAGAAATAACCCCCGCACGTTCTGATCAAACTCCAATCCGACGAGAAATGTAGAGCACAGGTTACTCTACAGCCATGAATAGATACATAAATAGAGAATGTGGACATGTAGATCTGTTTCAGGATAAAAGAATAGACTACTGTCGCACCATTCAGCACGCTAAAGCCCTCTATAGAACACGCTACTGCACTCCTCTCTATCGAGAGCAGCACTGTCTGCTGATCTGGGACCATGGACTTTTCTAGAGGGTTTCAGGATGGGATGATCAAACAATGTGCCTGTGCATTTGAGTTAGACTGCTCGAGTCAGTCGATAGATACCATAGGAAGATCCGTAAATTACCATCTGGTGAGGGTTAATATCTGGTTCGTATAATATCGGGTACAGTACCCTAAAAGTGCGCTAACCGGATTGAGAATTTACTACGACCAGAGAAGCGTAGGGCAAAGTTTATTCGAATATTCCGGATGTTGAAGGAATAAGAATAAAGTTTTCATGATTCAGGGTTGAGTTGTTTTGTTTTTGGCGCCCTTATACGGTATCCTATACTCTGTAGTGTTGTACTGAGGACTGAGGTGAGGTTGTAAGAAGGTTGACAATACATGTTATAGCATCTTGCGACAAAGCCAATGCAGTTAGACTCCCTGAAAATATGACATTGGCATTGGCATTCGTACCAAGGCCAGCAGTTCACACGCTCGACCGAATGGCCCTGGTACTCTATACCTAGTGTGGCCTCCTGCAGAACAGCCAAGCCGGACAAGAAGCCAGATTGGTGCTCGACCAACAGGGCTCGTATTCTAGGAGTTCTAGTTCTGGGACTAGAATAAAGTAGCTCATAGGTCCTGGAAGTCACAATCGCTATCGCTATGATCACCACCCAGGGGTGAGTAAGGATTTTGAAAATGACCGATTATTATCCTCGGGTTGCTAATTCTCCGCGTAGATCGTAACCTCGATGATTCTTAGATCTGCCCGAGTGATCACGGGGAATGTGAGGATTGGCCTGGTTCTTGAGATAGGCAGATACGAGTCCAAGATCGACACCAGAGAAGGGAGAACGATGATGCTGTATGCGAAGTTATCATTGCAAAAGCATGATGGCCGGGGTGCTGGGCGGCCGCTGATCATGAGATCCTTCACAGTCGGGTGTCGAAAGGAGGATATTGGGATAGACAATGGAAGCTTCGACGGCTTGACGACTCGATTTGGATGTGCAAGGTTATAGGTGAGTTTGTACTCCGTACTTGTACTCTGTCTTCTGTACAACGCAACAGGTATCCAAAGATAACCGCCATTGACCACTCTTCGGCCGAATAGGTGGACCCACTAATACCGAGCAATCTGTACTACGTACTCTGTCAATGTACAAAAGAGCCTTTGAAGAATTGTTATCCTGTCAAGATCCAAATCAGTTGACTTTGCATCCAAAGTCTACTACATACTCTGAAGTAGAACATACTTTCGGAGAGGAGTTGCATCCAAGGTTGGACCACACGAGCTAAGCTTTTACCGTTTTTCATCAACGGCTGTGCAGATCAGACACGTACGGAACATAGAAAAGACGTTGATATAACAGTAGTGACATTTGATTAATCAATTGTATGAACTGATATATTCTTTTATTCGGTTTATCTTAACAGCACGAGGATGTACAGTACAGATAGGAGTACTCAATACGGAATACGAGATTGACCGGAATGCGGCGCAATGCTGATCGTCATATCGCAGTCATGCCAGAAGCAAACGGTCGATATTTGTTGACCAATGGCTGAAGTTTAGATTCTCAAAATTGAGCCGACCTACTCATACTTGTACTCCGTAGTTACTCGTACCATTACTCTGCACTTTTATGGATGCCAAAATCTATACCTGACAGATCAGATGCAATGTAAATAATCTACCTGTATACTGGCTGGTGTACTCCGTAAGGAGGTTTATGTATGGGGTATATTCAATAGTGAACGGTCAACGGTCAACGGTCAGCCACCTGTACAGGTTGTGATTAATTATCCCACGTAGTGACTTTCCCGTTATGGTTAAATCCATACAGCATAAACAGGACATCCCATTGGCCAATGTAAGCGCCCTCCACTCACTCTGAAATCTGAAACACGGGGCGGATGCTTCACAATGGACTTGGCATGGGTAGCAGATTGTCCTTCCGGTTCCGATGAATCCTACTCCGTGTTCTGTACACAGCACGTTGCTACATAGTACGTACTGTAGTGTCCAGATGAGTACTTTTGCAGAGTAGAGCGATGAACAAGCGCTATAATCTACAGATTAGATTATTGTGACCCCTACGCCAGCAAGGATACCTATTATTGCGAAATGCGTAGCTTCCATCTCCTTTATGCACGTCCCGATAGGAGAGCAAGTGCACTCCGGATACTCTCGTATTGACTCGATAACCTGATCTGGCGGTATATCCGAAGGCCGGAAGAAATCAGGGAGGCTAGCCCAGTGAACGGTCCAAGTGATGTCGATCTACTATATACCGTAGAGTGTACTCTGTACACTGTAGATACAATTATCCGTGCTCCGTATTCCGTAGTGTTCTAGATGGGACCCGGTGTGGCAATTGCTGGTCTGTATGGATACAATAATATGATGCATGATTCTTCAGCAGAAACGGATAATAAAACGCCAAATTAAGGTACCAACGGCTATCCAATGGGTTGTATGGGTGAGTCCCATGGATGGATTTGTTTCTATGTTGGGTTCTGGATTTCTACCGGTGGATAGACACTAGTCCTTTTCGGGCTGCGTGGGACTGACTCCCGATGGGGCAATCGTTTTTTATGATCCGGATCCACCGATTACAGTAATATACTGTATAAGATGTGGTAACTTACGAGTTTCCCATAGCGGTTCCTGGAAGGTGCCTGTATCAGTAATACCGCCGGTCCCTGGCGCCTCCAGCCAACCAGTTAGTGTTGTTATTATAGCTCCATAATAAATGGTAATATTATTGTACTTGTATTTCCACCCCCTCGATTTGACCTCAATTTCGCTAACAGCCCGATTGACGTTGTCCGGTGGTGTACGGAGTATCTCAGAGTGTGATCTCTATTCTTCACCTTCTCGACTGTCAAGGAAATCGCATTTTTTATTTTTATTTTTTTTGACCCTCCCTTTTTTCCCATATTTTCCCTTCATATCCACCCTCTTCTCCCACCTCCTCCTTCTATTCTTTTTTTCTCTCTCTCACTCTCACTCTACCCACCATCCACCCACTCACAGGTGCTCCCTTTCTTTCGTTTCATTTTCGCCGTGCGAGAATTACCTCCCCCCTTACTATCACTTTATTGTTCTATATTATTATCTATTATTATTGCCTTTTTTTTTTTTTTTTTTACATTAAAAAATATTAAAAACCACATCCAAAAATAGAGAGAACTCGCATACAGGCAGGGCCCTTTTCAATTCTCTCTCTTTTTACGCGCGCTCGTTATTCTCCATCGCTGGACCGAGCCACTCTGCTACTCTTCCAGTCAGCTCAGCTCAGCAGCTCAGAGCACCTGCTAAAAAAAAAAAAAAAAATCTCCCTTGAAAGAGGCTGGTTCCTCTGTTCATCTCATCATCTTCATCCATCTTTACTACTGCCGTCAAGTGCTTCGATAGCATCTGCGCGCTTTCATCGCATCACTCGCTTGCCGCTTGTTTGAGTGTTGTCTATATATCGTTGGTTGCTTTCTTTCACTTCTGTTGCGCGCTCTTCTAGTCAAGACGCTAGCAACCAATTCTTCCTTTTTTTTTTTTTTAATATATTTTTTTATCTGTCTGTGGCTGAGTCGGTTAACGGGTTTCTTTGACTGTATGTCCATACCCTTCTCTTTCATATTCTCCCTTTCGTGTCAGAACAGATGAAACAACCCGGTTTGTTTATGTCACGACTGGCATCAGGTAAACTAACAGAATCACTATCAGGTCGCTACCTTTCATACCACCATGTATCCCCATCATGGCCCCCCGATGCCTCCTCCGCAGAAGCCAGAGACTTTCATGCTCTCCAGCGAGGCGCAGCAGAGCCTGCCTCACGATGCGCAAGTCGCACTGCAGCAAGTCGATAACCGTACGACCTCGTTGAGAAATCCCGCTTGTCCGGACAGCCAGCTTACTATTCAACAGTGAAATACTTCCTCTTGTCGGCTCCTGTGGACTGGCAACCCGATCAATTCGTTCGTCGCTTTTTGCTGCCCACGGGCGAACATATTTCCTGCGTGCTTTGGTTAGTGTTGAATAAGACGATATAGCGGACAACACATGGATCGTGGCCTTAGAGGAACCTGGTGCTAACACTCAACAGGAGCAACCTCTTCCACATCTCAGGAACCGATATCGTTCGATGCCTGGCATTCCGTTTCACAGCCTTTGGTCGTCCCGTCAAGAACTCGAAAAAGTTTGAGGAAGGCATCTTCTCCGATTTGCGAAACCTCAAGGCCGGCACCGATGCTACACTCGAAGAGCCCAAGAGCCCCTTCCTCGACTTCCTCTACAAGAACAACTGCATCCGGACACAGAAGAAGCAAAAGGTCTTCTACTGGTATAGCGTCCCGCACGATCGTCTTTTCCTCGATGCCCTTGAACGGGACTTGAAGAGAGAGAAGATGGGCCAGGAGGCCACCACCGTTGCCGTCAGCGAGCCCGCCTTGTCTTTCGAGTTTGATTCGTCCCAGTCGCTCTATGAGCAACTCACCAAGGCTCAGCAAGCAAACACTTCTTCGTTTGCTGCACACGCAAGTACGACATTTGGCCAGCCCACCTCCCCAATCGTGCGGTCCGTTGACGCTATGCCTCCTCCGCAGATGGCTCCGCAGATGGCTCCCCCGGCGCTTCCTTTCCTACCGGACGAGTCGGCCAACGCGGCGATCTACAATGCGATCCCCTTGCCCCCTACGCTAGCCCATAATTTCATCAAGCGTGAGCAGGATTTCGCTCCCATCCAGTACGACCGCAACGGGATGCCCATCGCCCGCATGCACCAGCGTCACGCCTCCATGCCGACCTTTGTCGAGTACTCGCCGGCCCCCTCCTTCGTTTCCTCCCATTTCGAAGACTACAGCAACCGCGGCTTGTCATTTGAGCCCGTGACTCCCCCACAGCATCATGCTCCCCTGGGTCCTGAGCCGGCGTACATCGCCAATGAAGACACGGGTCTCTACACGGCCATTCCGGACATTTCGTCCGCTCCATCTTTCAACCCTTTGATGCAGCTGCCCCCCTCCAATCTGGCCAGTGCCCATTTCCCAGCCCCACCACGGACGTTTCCCTACTCGGTCCTTGAGGGCTCTCCTACCTATAAGCAGCGGAGACGTCGCTCTTCGGTCACCCCGGGAGCCGCCAGCGCTGCAATGGCCACTGCGGCCACACCCCAAACCACAGCCGCTCCCGCCCAGACAATGGCGTACGCAGCACACAGACCTAGTGACCTGCGGCGATCTATGTCGAGCTCGGTGGCTCCCGCTGTGACCGAGGCCGGTAATGAATCACATTCGCAGCGCGCCGCGGCGAGCTACCCGGCCGTCCTCCCCCAGAAGGACTTGTTGCAGGAAATTTCCCGCCATGGTACCCCGCTCTCCAACTTTGAAGAGAGCGCCAGTCAGAATGTGCTATCCCTGAACAACGCGCAGGATGACCTGGCGGGTTTCCCGACCGATGAGACGGTTGATGCCGCTGTGCAGAACAGCACAACCAATAAGGCAGAGCGATACGCTCCGGGCCCAGTCCGCCGTGCTCGAAGCGCTACCATGATGGAGCTTGGACCCTATCCGCAAAAGTCCCACTCGTGTCCAATCCCATCGTGTGGACGACTATTCAAGAGACTAGAGCATTTGAAACGGTAAGTTATGATCGCATCATTCTTTAGGTGTCTGCTCTTCTTGACCTGGTTGGTTCGGTTTGCGATGATCGGCGTGCTGGTAATCTTATTTGTAGCCGCCCAGCTGACAGTTTTGGCGCTTAGGCATGTTCGAACCCACACCCAAGAGCGGCCGTACCCTTGCCCTTACTGCAACAAGGCATTCTCGCGATCCGACAACCTTGCACAGTAAGTTTTCCTTAGCCTATCATTTTGTACGTTCATCTGCTTACCACTCCTACAGACACCGTCGGATCCATGAGGCTCAACAAGATGGTCAGCCGCCGCTGTCAACACACGAGGAAGAATTGGAGAACGAGGAAAATGAATTCGGCTCGCCGGACGAGGACCTGTCACCGCATGATACTTCAATTCCAACTTCCATGATGAACATGACCACTATGACCTCTATGCCGACCACCATGGCCACCACCATGAGCATGCCTCCTATGCATACCATGGTTGCTCCGAATATGATTGCACCCCAGCTCCTGCAGCAGCATATATGAGCGTCAATCTATTAGCAGGATACCACATTTACTATCAATCGATTATAATACGACATTATAACGTCTGACCATCTTCATTTGCATCGCTCTTCATATCATCTCTGGACTTATATCTAGTTTTATTTCTTGGGCTGGTCGTTTTGGATTCTTTACCTTGGGAAGTCCCCCCTGCGGCTTGAAGGCCGCACAGGATTCTTCTACTTCCTTCCCTGCTCTTGTTTTCGTTTATCACGGATTTGGATAGGGATTCTCCGCTGCATTATCTTTCGCTTCTTTGGGCTTGATGCCTAAAAGCGACTGATAGAAGGGGCCGACATTCCACCGGTGGATGCATACCCTATTTCTTTTATCAACATGCATTGCTGCTGGCGCTGGACTGTCGTGCCTATATCTCCTTTTCATTGTGACTTTTGTTGATTCAGTTTATATCCTCGATGATTTCTCATTTCGTGCCAATTTCTCTGTTCATATGTTATGTTTACGGAATCTGTGTATTATCGTCTGTGTACTCTTTTATGGGTTTTGGAAAGTAAGGAAAGGTGCGCAGCGTGAACTGGGTAAGCGCGGCGTACGCAGGGAAATACCTTTTGTGCTTTGAGGTGCTAGCAGCTTATAGATATGATTTTGGGAAGGGTCTTTCGCCGTGCAACAGTTTTTTAGGATACAAGCATATAGAGCAATGAAAACAACTAAACGGAAATCTTCTGGATCATTTATTTGTAAACCAATGTAGATTTTCTCTGCTTTGAGCCCTGTTGTTTAAGCACTTGAGCTGAAGCGATTGCCCTTTCGATGCGTTTGTCAGTTAGATGACGGCACCGAATAAAAAGGCACCGAGACATAAATCCGGGGTCCAAATCGGTCACGTGCAGTCGGTCCGCTGACGTCGTTCTCCAATCCCCAGAAAGTAAGATTGGGCACGTAGTCTTCTCATTTCTCTCCCAGTCTCTGATTTTAATACGTTGATGCCATCCTGATTTTAACGTGCCCCGTTAGGCCTGGATGGAACACGCAGAGTGCTTAGAATCTAGCTGCGGGTTAGACCCAATTCCACCTTGATTGTATTGAGCAGACACCGACTTTTCCCTTCCATATTAACTTGGCATCATTTCACGGGCTTTTTCCATCAGTTTCTAGCTCTAAAGAGTGCGGAGGTTGACTCCAGAATATCTATATACCTCAGTACCTGGCTTCTGTTTAGAACTAGACCACCCGATCATTCACAGCATGACGGAGGCAGCCAACGAGTCATCCCCTCTCGTGGGACCGGATCGTGAAGATGATACAGACATTCGATATGAACCGAACGATATCCCTGCCCTACACGGGGAGGATTTGGTGGAAACGAAGAGCAGTTTGCACCTGTTCTTGTTGACGCTGAGTATTGGAGGGTGAGTTGGATTGTCTACTATTGCGCTTGGATGTGATGCGCTGCTGCGGACAACTGACAAATTGGTGATTTGCGCATAGGTTACAAGTTGTGTGGTCTGTGGAATTATCGAGTGGGACGGTAAGCTGGCCTATGCTTTTTCATACAGAATGAAAACTAATGTTGATGTTGTGTAGCCTTATCTACAGTCCCTCGGAATGAGCAAGGCTTTGCTTGCATTCGTTTGGATTGCAAGTCCACTGGCCGGAACCCTTGTACAGCCTTATATCGGCATTCGGAGCGATAATTGTCGCATCTCGTGGGGCAAGAGAAAGCCATTTATGTTTGCTGGGGCCGCGGGAACGGTCGTTGCCTTGCTGGCACTCGCATGGGTGCAGGAAATTGTGGGCGGGCTTCTTGGGCTTTTTGGCGCGGACCCTAATTCTGGGGGTGTCCGGACGACCATTATCATCGTCGCGACTGCCTTGATGTGTTGCTTGGATTTTGCCGTCAATACGGGTACGCACTTCTTATCTTGGGGAAAACTGGCTTTGTCCATGCTAATGTGCGTATAGTACAGGCTGGTATCCGTTGCTTTATTGTTGATAATGCACCAACCCACCAGCAGGAATCTGCAAATGCATGGGCCAGTCGAATGACCGGCGTGGGAAATATCTGCGGGTTCATCTTTGGATACATAGATTTGCCCAGCATTCTGCCATTTCTGGGAAAGACGCGGTTCCAGATCCTCTGCGCAATAGCTTCGCTTCTACTTGGGATTACGCTGGTGATCAGCTGTTCTTATATCAAAGAACGAGATCCCCGGCTGGACAGTCCACCTGCTTCAAGCAGTCTCGGTCTCGTCTCTTTCTTCAAACAGGTTTTCAAAGCTATCCGTCATCTACCGCCACAAATTTCCAAGGTCTGCGAAGTTCAACTCGCAGCTTGGATTGGATGGTTCCCCTTCTTATATTACGCCACTACGTACATTGGACAGCTATATGTGAATCCCATCTTCGAAGACCATCCCAATCTCTCCGACAAGGACATTGACCAGGCTTGGGAAGATGCCACTCGAATCGGATCTTTTGCACTTCTTATTTATGCAGTCATCTCATTCGTGGCCAATATCATGTTGCCAGTCTTGGTTGTTCCCTCGTACAAACCGATTGTCGCCTCCGATAGACAGCATGGTGAGGGTCTCCTCGAAGGGGAAGAAGAATCCGGAATAGGGACTCGAAGGATGTCAGCGTCCAGTATCCCCTACGGAGCACCACTTGAGCAGCAACCTCAAGGCTCCAAGGTCAACAATGGCGGACCAACATGGCTTGCTTATTTGCAGATTCCAGGCTTCACACTTCGACGAGCATGGCTTATTTCGCACGTCCTCTTTGCCACTTGCATGTTCAGTACCTTCTTTGTCTACACCCATCAAGCCGGATCGGCTGTTATCGGGTTACTTGGGATCAGTTGGGCCATGACGCTGTGGGCACCGTTTGCATTGATCTCTGCGGAGGTCTCACGACTTGATACGGAATATCGCATCCGTCGAGTCCGTGCTGCCAGAACAGTCGCGGAAGGGACTCGTGACGCAGTCACTGCGGCCGCTGATAGACATCGCTACTCTCACCATGGCGAGGACTTGGAGAATGGTCATGAAGTATCGCATGTGAAAGCTCTTGGAGAGGAGGATGAGAACCCAGCCCAGGCCGGCATCGTCCTCGGACTTCATAATGTGGCCGTCTCTGCGCCACAGATCCTTTCCAGCTTGGTATGCAGTGCGATATTTAAGGCGTTTCAGAAACCGCGGGGAGAGCCTTGGGATGACAGTGTTGGATGGGTGTTGCGGTTTGGAGGAATTGCTGCATTGGGAGCTGCGTATTTGACTAGTCGGTTGGCTGAGGGAGGGAGATGAATATAAATATCAATATCAAGGAGTTAAATAGGTTTATTCGATCAATTATCATTAAGAGGAGCGTCTATCCTATGTCTTACATTTCGTACAATAGATATGTCACCGTTGTAGCAGCAGTGGTCTTGGCATCGTTGACGACCACTTGTCCGTGTCTTATTCATCTCATCCCCAATCAGATCTCGTCTTTCTTTCTTCAACCCAACTAACATACTCTCTCTCTCTCTTTGTTTGCTGATCGTTAATTGTCAGTATTCTCAAATAATTCCCTTTTCGTGTTTTGGCGCCTCTCCTTACCCCGCGAACTACGTGTTCCTGGACTATGTTCTGGCGTCAGTCTCCTGCCGCTAACCATCCGCTTGGGGTGTCTCCTTCCTAACAACGGAAAACCATGGCCGGCCAGTTTGTGGGCGACGCCCTTCACCAAGTGCTCAGTACGTTTTTTCTCCAATATTTTTTGCTTTTCCCCGGTATTGGTTGATCTGGGGTTGCCAAGATCTTTTACGTTATGCGAAATAGACTGACTCTTGTTTGTCGTGCAGGGAGAGCTGCGGACTCCGATACGGACCCTGATGGTACGCGCATTGACCTTCATGTCTATTTACCTCCCTTCCTGCTTGAAAACGAATATATTCTACGTCGCGGATTGTTAGGATGGTATCATTGATAATGTGTGGTTGCAGATGTCCCCGAGGCGGGCACCAAGGAGTTTTTCAGCTCCTGGGCACTCTTTATCATGATCATGCTTTTGATGTGTGCGCTTTTTACGAGTTATATCCTACAGCAGAAGAAGATTCAAGCTGTGCATGAGACGGTGTTGTCCATTTTTGGGGGTATGTCCTAGGTCTAAGTTTCTCCGTGAGGGGTAGGATATGCGGTATTAATGCATATGCGCAGGCATGTTCGTCGGATTGATTATACGACTAAGTCCAGAGTCGCCTATCCAAGACAGTGTGACCTTCGATTACCAATTCTTTTTTAATCTCCTCCTTCCTCCGATTATCTTGGCCTCCGGGTACGAGTTACATCAGGCGAACTTCTTCCGCAATATCGGTACGATTCTGACGTTTGCGTTTGCGGGAACATTCATCTCGGCTATCGTGCTGGGGCTCGTGTTGTACGTTTGGACTCGGATCCCACTGGACGGTCTGAATATCTCTTTCGTCGAGGCGATCTCAGTGGGGGCGACTCTTTCGGCGACGGACCCGGTTACGATCCTGGCGATCTTCAATCTATACAAGGTCGAGCCGAAGCTGTATACTGTCATATTTGGCGAGTCGATCTTGAACGATGCTATTGCTATTGTCTTGTTTGAAACTGCGCAGAAGTATGCAGAGAGTGAGGCTGGGTCGTTGACCTTTCTCAATTTGTTTGAGGCCATCGGTCTCTTCTTGTTGGTTTTCTTTGGTAGTATGATTGTTGGTATTATTGTGGGGATCATGACTGCGCTGGGTCTCAAGTACACTCATGTTCGTCGCATGCCCAAGATTGAGAGCTGCATGATTGTTCTCATTGCATACGCCAGTTATTTTTTCTCCAACGGCGTGTACCTATCAGGTAAGTTTGATCACACCTAGCATGATGTCTCCGGACTAATGAAATAGGCATCGTGTCTCTCCTATTCTGTGGTATTACGATGAAACACTACGCTTATTACAACATGTCGCGCCGAACACAATTGACCACCAAATACCTCTTCCAGGTGATGGCGCAATTGTCGGAGAACTTTATCTTCATCTACCTAGGAATGGATCTGTTCGTTGAGAGCAACCTGCAATTTAAGCCGCTGTTCATTCTGGTGGCGGTATTAGGAATCTGTCTTGCGCGGTATCTCGCCGTATTCCCACTGTCAAAAGCCATCAATTGGTTCATCCGGTATCGCGCCCGCCGCTGTGGTGTCGAAGCTGTGGATGAGCTTCCGTTTGCTTACCAAGCCATGCTCTTCTGGGCTGGACTGCGAGGAGCAGTCGGTGTTGCTTTGGCAGCGGGTCTAAAGGGCGTTAATGCTCCGGCTCTGCGGGCTACTGTCCTGGTTGTAGTCGTGCTGACTGTTATTATCTTTGGTGGAACCACAGCTCGGATGCTTGAAATCCTGGGGATCAGGACCGGTGTGGTCGAGGAGCTGGATTCGGACGATGAGTTCGACATCGAAGTCACTCATGGAGGTACCTACTACAAACGGGATACGGGTCTAGGATACACTCCTCGTCGGATGGACTCAACCATTCCTTTGGATGGAATGCAGCGTGAGGGGCTTGACAGGACGCATAGCTATTCCACTGGCAACAGCCGTCGTCCCAGCCCGCCACCCAATCGGTCATCAAGCCGAGGTCACGCTCGCACATATTCGAATGCCTACGGGCCCAAAGACACCCAGACACGTCGCGACCGATCATCGACGGCCACACTCCTTAACAGCGGAGCTGGGGGCCATAGCGATGACAGTGCGGCCAGCGAGGATGAGTTTGGCCTCAAGACCACTAAGAGCACCAGAAGGTCACGAGCCACAGCCGAACCGGATCCAGACGAGTTTGAGATCGACGTCGAAGAGTCGGAGGAGGATGACCATGGACTTCCCCCATCTGCGACACCCGCATCGCGACTGCGGCGATCGCATTCCCAACAGCAGCAAGAACCCACATCCTCCAGAGTGTTACCGTCGCCGTCGCCGTCGCGACATGAAACCATCAGCGCTCGCGAGGCTCTCCGGGATCTTTTCTCGGGCGGGCCGACTGGGGATCATGCAGCGTGGTTCCGGCAGCTGGATGAAGGGTATATCAAGCCACGGTTACTTCTGGATCAGTCGAATCATAAAGGGCCTGGGGCTGTTTGATTTTGTACAAATACAGAACTACAGGGTACATTTGTATACTGATACCATATGGTGTTTATTAGATGTCTTTCTATATTTTTCATTTATTTGCACATGGGAAATATAACTAGTCAAATTAGCTGGGCTTGTTTGATAGGAATGCAAGAAATTTCCTTGTTTGTCTGGGTTATCCTATTCTTTCCGGAATGATGTGAGCCGTAAGATAGATACGGTAAGAAAACGGCTCCCCTGCAGATCGGGTCAGGATGACGGTATTCCCAATACGCATCAGATCTAGAAGTATATATAGTAGGGTAGAGAGTAGAAGTATTGAAAGAAGCAGTGTGTTGATATATATAATTGACAAAAATCCGTGGGCTAATAGATTTGAATGCAACTGGAATACAGAGTACTTGTATAGCGTCGGTACTAATCACAGCTGTGTAAGCCTCCTCTCAAATGCCAACCCGAATCCTCAACTCTCGTCCAGAAAACCATCCCCGGCTTCGTTTCGCTTTGCCCGCCACGCCCTCGTTTCTTCTTGCCATCATCTCGTTTCATTTCTTCTCTTCTACCCATCTCTTCGTCTTCTTTTCATCACCCATAAACCTCTAACTCTATATTGATTCCTCCCTTCATCTCCCAGTTACATCCATCGCCAATCCGGACTGGCTGGATCTCTCAACGGCTTTCCACCCAGTTTTCATTATCAGCAGAAAATCACTCAATCGTCCTTTCGGGCACCTGCGCTGTTATCCCGCAGGTCGTAGGGCAAGAAAAACAGACAAAGAAGGTGTGTTCACGCAACTATAAAGTCGCTTTTGACCTGTCTGCATTTCCGCTGTCCGTCTTATGCAACCGCCCTCTCTTTCTCGCGCTCGCTTCATTCTCTTTTTCTCCCTTTCCCACCCTCCAATCTGTCTTTTCTTACATCTTTTTCTTCCCTACTTCGTCTATTGTAACCTTTTCTCTTTTCCATTCCCTTCCTACTCCCACTTTTCCCTTCTCGTCAATTTCACGACCCTGCTTTTCTTCCTTGAGAAAGCTATTACCACTGCACTACAATTACTGACCAGGCCTGGAGTATTAGCTATCTTTAGATCGATTCAAAATCCCTCATATCTGTCGGTACTCCCATGGGTCACGAATGTCCACCGTGATTCTTTCCGATTCCTCTTCGACACGACCCCTGTGAAGCCCCCGTCGTCGCGACTGATACCCTTCAGATCTTCGCCGCCGCTCTTCCGGCACACGCGGCCATCATGACGGGAGCGCCCCCATATAATCCCCATTCCCCTACCCAACAGTCTCGTTATCCCGCTTATTCACCTCCGAATAAGACTCCTCACCATTTCTACCCCGGCAATGATCAATACCAGCAACATCCGCCGCAGACGCCGCCAGCCTTTCCCCCACACTCCGCGCTGTCCAGGAGCCCTCACTATGCACACGCGGCGCCATCCCTGCCAGCCACATTACCGCCGTTGAGCAGCGACCCGAGCGCTCAGTACCAGGTGCATTCGGCCGCGCCTACGCCGCAATTCTCATTGCCCAGGCCATACTCGGGTTCGATTCTGCCGGGCAATGGCGCATCTCCATATGCTCAGTCTACACCGTCGCATGCTCCTCCCCCACCCCAGCTGGAGAGTCATTCGCAGTCTCCTACCAAGAAGGAAACAGATTCCCCGTATTCAATGGCTGGGAATAATGCTCCGGGCTACTCTATGATGCGGGAACCGCCAAGGCCGGCTTCTCCTCTAAAAGAAGCGGTATGTTTTCTTTTCTTTCTTTTTTTTTTTTTTTTTTATTATTGATCTGCTTTAATCCTCGGTATACTAACAAGCCGTTGCGTCTAGAAACCAGCGAGAGCGGCCGATCCCATGTCGTTTGCTAGCATCCTCTCGGGCCCCACTGAAGAGGAGCGCCTGCCTCCCAAGAGATCTTCTCCTCCCCCAGCACAAATGGCCCCCGTTGCACCTCCGCCTTCGTTCCATATCGCGGACCAAACGCCGAAAGAGCTAGAACCGGTCCCGATACATCCAATGCCAAGATTCGAGGAAAAGCAGCCGATAAGGGAGCGTCGTTGGAATGTGGAGCAGGAGGAACGTCTTGTTGGCGATCTTCCTGTCGCCCCTTCTGCCAACGGTGATGTCCCGGATATCAAGAAGACTTCTGCACCGATTCGGGCTCCCGCGCCGCGCAAGCTCACCGAGCGGGATATGGAAATTATTAACAAGATCACCGCTGATATTGACAACGGGGAGAAGAGCGATGTGGAAACGCCGGGCTTTGAAGTGGAGTATGAACGCTATATCTCCAAGGGCAAGAAACGTGCTCTCAACAGCGAGAAGGCTGAGGGTATTAAGCGCAAGGTACGTTTTTTTTTTTTTTTTTTTTTTTTTTTTTTTTTTTTCAATGATAGCAGGGGAAACGAATGTGTATTAACAAGCTCTTAGCGCCGACGACAAGATTTCCTTGTCAAACTTGGCAAGACCTTTGAGAAACAATCAACCTTAGGAATGGATCGTTTCAGATATGACCATGAGGAGAAGGTCATTTTCGAAGTGCAAGATAAGGAAATTCAAGATGAAAAGGAACGCAAGAAGGACATGCAGCGGAAGCGGCGACGGGAGAACACGGTTCGGCTGGAAATGCAGAGAAAGCTCGATGCAGAACGGAAGGCGAACGAGACTGACGACGCTGCTACAAAAGCCAAGCTTATGCGGGAAGTCGAACGGGCTCAGAAGAAGATCAAATCTACCAAGAGAGCCCTGGAAGGCGTTACAGCCCCCGAGGAGATTGGCGAAGTCACTCCACTGGCTCCCAACCTTGAAGGGGGTACCACCAGTTCATTCCACATTGGCCGAAGTTCTCCGTCGCGGCGCAAATCGAACCGCGGGGGCACGACCGCCCGACCCAAGAAATCCAAGGAGCAAAAGCAAGCCGAAAAGGATGCCGCAGAAGCCGCTTATGCGGCCATGGCTAGTGACGACCCTACGTCTCTTGCCCCCATGGAAGATCCTCGAATGGAGTCGCTCAAGAAAGAAGCTAAGGGTAGCCGATCCAAGGAGTCCACGCCCATTCCCATGGCATCATACGACAGCAAGGGTTATAACCAGATTTACGAGCAGATTTGGCGAGATATTGCACGCAAAGATATTCCCAAAGTTTATCGTATCAAAGTCACTTCGCTTGGTACTCGCCAAGAGAATCTGCGCAAGACGGCTCAACTGGCGAGCAAGCAGTCCCGCAAATGGCAGGAGCGTACCAATAAGAGTATGAAGGACACCCAGGCTCGTGCTAAGCGAACAATGCGTGAAATGACGACCTTCTGGAAGCGGAACGAGCGTGAGGAACGTGACTTGCGCCGTCTGGCCGAGAAACAGGAGATTGAATCAGCTAAGAAGGCGGAGGCTGAGCGTGAGGCCAACCGCCAGAGGCGTAAACTTAACTTTCTCATCTCCCAGACCGAACTGTATTCCCATTTCATTGGCCGGAAGATCAAGGACACGGAAGCTGATGCCTCTGGGGACACTGCTGTCCATGGTTCGAACGAGACCGTCCAGCCTGGCAAAGGCCAGCAGCATACTGTGGATATGCCTCCTAGTGTCGCAGATCCGAACACCAAGGTCACTACCAGCTTCGATGAACTAGATTTTGATGCAGAGGACGAAACAGCTTTGCGGCAGGCTGCCATGGCCAATGCGCAGAATGCCGTTCAGCAAGCCCAGGATCGGGCGCGCGCTTTCAACGCTGAGCAGGACCAGATGGCGGCCTTTGACGAAGGCGAGTTGAACTTCCAGAATCCCACGAGTTTGGGTGACATTGAGATTTCTCAGCCGACCATGCTTACGACAAAGTTGAAAGAATACCAGCTGAAGGGTCTCAACTGGTTGGTCAACTTGTACGAACAGGGTATCAACGGTATTCTGGCCGATGAGATGGGTCTCGGAAAGACCATCCAGTCTATATCGGTCATGGCTTACCTTGCTGAATACCACAACATCTGGGGTCCGTTCTTGGTCATCGCTCCCGCATCCACCCTGCACAACTGGCAACAGGAAATCGCCAAGTTCGTGCCAAACATCAAGGTCTTGCCTTACTGGGGTTCGGCCAAGGACCGTAAGATTCTTCGGAAGTTCTGGGACCGCAAGCACATCACGTACACCAAGGATTCGGAATTCCACGTACTGGTGACTTCGTATCAGCTGGTGGTTCTTGACGCGCAGTACTTCCAGAAGATCAAGTGGCAGTACATGATTCTGGATGAGGCTCAGGCCATCAAGTCGTCGCAGAGTTCTCGTTGGAAGAACCTTCTTGGGTTCCATTGCCGGAACCGTCTCCTGCTTACCGGTACGCCTATTCAGAACAACATGCAGGAACTCTGGGCTCTTCTGCACTTTATCATGCCGACCCTATTCGACTCTCACGATGAGTTCAGCGAGTGGTTCTCAAAGGATATTGAGTCGCACGCGCAAAGTAATACGAAGCTCAACGAGGACCAGCTCCGACGTCTGCACATGATCTTGAAGCCATTCATGCTGCGTCGTGTCAAGAAGCACGTCCAGCAGGAACTCGGAGACAAGGTTGAAGTGGATATCTTCTGCGACTTGACCTACCGTCAGCGGGCGTATTATGCCAACTTGCGGAACCGTGTCAGTATCATGGATCTTATTGAACGGGCCGCCGTGGGTGATGAGGCGGACAGCACCACGCTGATGAACTTAGTCATGCAGTTCCGAAAGGTGTGCAATCATCCAGACCTATTCGAACGCGCTGAGACAAAGTCCCCCTTCTCCCAGGCGCACTTTGCAGAGACTGCTTCGTTTGTGCGTGAAGGGCATTTCGTCGACTTCGTCTATTCAACACGCAACCTGATTGAATATGACCTGCCGCGACTTCTGTGTGGCCCTGCTGGCCGTATCGATATGGCTGGGCCGGATAACAAGCTGGCCGGTTTCCGCAACAAGTATCTCGCCCATATGTTGAACATTTGGACTCCTGAGAACATCAAAAAGAGT